AGAGAATGGGGTGGTTAACACTAGGCCATTGCGTTAGACCCAGCTAATTAGCACATTTTTTTTTATTTTGTTTTATTTTATTGGAAAGTCAGATATACAGAGAGGAGGAGAGACAGAGAAAAAGATCTTCCTCCCGATGATTCACTCCCCAAGTGAGTGCAACTGCTGGTGCTATGCTGATCCGAAGCCAGGAACCAGGAACTTCCTCCAGGTCTCCCACATGGGTGCAGGTGCCCAAGGTTAAGGGCCGTCCTTGACGGCTTTCCCAGGCCACACGCAGGGAGCTGAATGGGAAGTGGGGCTGCTGGGATTAGAACTGACACCCATGTGGGATCCCGGTGCATTCAAGACGAGCACTTTAGCCACTAGGCCACTGTGTCAGGCCCAAATCTGCTTTTCAACAAATACAAATAAATTAAAAAAAAAAAATCAATTTGCTCTAAAAAAAAAAAAAGGCTCAGCATGGTAGCCTATTGGTTAAAGTCCTCACCTTGCACATACTGGGATCCTATATGAGTGCCAGTTCGTATGCTGACTGCTCAGTGCCTGGAGATCTGGGATAACCAATGTCAGCCCAGAGGACCAGGTGTGGAGCATGTTCTGAGGGTACTGTTTAAGTGGTTTTGATAGTTTTGAAATGCTATTGGGCCTGGCGCCATGGCTTAGTGGCTGAAGTCCTTGCCTTGAATGCGCCAGGATCCCATATAGATGCTGGTTCTAATCCTGGCAGCCCCACTTCCCATCCAGCTCCCTGCCCGTGGCCTGGGAAAGCAGTGGAGGACGGCCCAAAGCCTTGGGACCCTGTACCCATGTGGGAGACCTGAAGAGGTTCCTGGTTCCTGGCTTCGGACCGGCATAGTATCAGCACCGGCCGTTGCGCTCACTTGGGAGTGAATCATCGGACGGATGATCTTCCTCTCTGTCTCTCCTCCTCTCTGTATATCTGACTTTGTAATAAAAATAAATAAATCTTTAAGAAAAAAAGATTTTTTTGTTTGTTGGAAAGGTGTATTTACAGAGAGAAAGAGAGACAGATTTGTATCTGCTGGTTCGCTTTCCAAGTGGCCACAACAGCCAGAGCTGAAGCTGAGAGTCAGCAGCTTCTTCCAGGTCTCCCTTGTGGGTGCAGGGTCCCAAAGCTTTGGGCCGTCCTCGACTGCTTTCCAGGGCCGCAAGCAGGGAGCTGGATGGGAAGCAGAGCAGCCGAAATACAAACTGGTACTCATTCTTTCTACTTATTTTTAAAGATTTATTTATTTTTATTGGAAAGTCAGATATACAGAGAGGAGGAGAGACAGAGAGGAAGATCTTCCATCTGATGATTCACTCCCCAAGTGGTTGCAACAGCCAGAGCTGAGTCAATCCGAAGCCAGGAACCAGGAGCCTCTTCTGCATTTCCCATGCAGATTCAGGGTCCCAAGGCTCTGGACCGTCTTCTACTGCTTTCCTAGGTTATAAGCAAGGAGTTGGAAGGGACGTGGGGCCCCTGGGATTAGAACTGGCACCCATATGGGATCCTGGCAAATGCAAGGCAAGGACTTTAGCTGCTAGGCTGCCACGCTGGGCCCCCTAATCAATTTTGAGAGACACAGGGAGAGGGATTCATCTCTAACGCCTGTAATATCCCAGGCTGAAGGCTGAGGCACAGAAGCAGGGACTGAATCAATGTAGCCCCCCAGAGGAACCCAGTGACTTGAGTCACCACGACTGCCTTTCCTAGTCCACATTATCAAGTAGTGGGAGGCGGAGCCGGGAATTGAGAGCAGGCTCTGTATGCGATGTGGGCCTGTCAACTGCTCGGCTGAACCCTCACTCCCTGCCTTCTTCTCCCACAAACTTTGGGAAAATGAGCACTTGAAACTGCAGGATCCCTTGTGGCTGGAGTTGACCAGAAAGTAGTTTTGTCCAAAACACTGCAGATAGCAATACCCCGCGAGTGTACTCTTTTTTTTTCTCGTTTAACATTTTCTCTGATTGAAGAGAAACTGATGGAGGTTCCCTATGCTTACTTACAATGCTGTGTGCAGCGCATCAAAAACCTGGGAGGTAAAGCAGTGGCCCAAAGTGAGAGAGAGAGGGTGTTTGTACAGGCCTGAAAGATGAAGGCGAGGAGGGGTTCCTGGGACACAGAAAGGAACTGTGCATCCTGGGGGCTTCCCGGAGATGTGCTGGACCGTCGCCGAGAGACCCGCAAGGGCCCCGTGCCACATAACCTCCTACAAGCTCCTCCCTTTTGGGAACAGGGGACAAGGCCTACCTCCTGACCCATATCTGGAGTTAGAGTATAAAATCCCTCTATTCTTGATTTTATATCATTGGCATGCCTGATACAAAGTAGGAAATGAACATATTCTTACTGAATTTAATCCAGTTTTTCATTTTGTTCTACAGTGCTTAAATCCTGATGTGGCGTCACCATCAACTTCACCCAGACCTAGCAGTCCGACAGAATCTTTGTTGTGCGAAGAACCTGATGGAAAAGGTATTTGGGGACAGGAGCTGGCTGAGTGCTTAAGATGGCTCCTACTGGGCCCAGTGCGGTAGCCTAGTGACTAAAGTCCTTGCCCTGATCACATGGGATCCCACATGGGTGCCAGTTCGTATCCTTAGTGCCCACTTCCCTCCAGGTCCATGCCTATGGCCTGGGAAAGCAGTAGAGGACCGGCCAAAACCTTGGGACCCTGCACTCACATAGGAAACCCAGAAGAAGCTCTTGGCTTCGGATTGGCTCAGCTGCAGCTGTTGTGGCTATTTGGGGAATTACTCAGAGGATGAAAGATCTTCCAATCTGTTTCTCTCTCTCTCTCTCTGTAAATCTGCCTTTCCAATAAAAATAAGAGAATAAAATCTTGAAAAAAAAAAGAGAGAGAGCCTGAAATGGTAGCCTAGTGGCTAAAGGCCTCACCTTGCATGTTCCAGGATCCCATATGGGTGCTGGTTGTGATCCTGGCAGCCCCGCTTCCCATCCAGCTCCCTGCTTGTGGCCTGGGAAAGCAGTTGACTACAGCCCAGAGCCTTGGGAACCTGCATCCATGTAGGAGACTTGGAAGAATCTCCAGGATCCTGGCTTTGGATTGGTTCCGCTCTGGCTGTTGCGGCCACTTGGGGAGAGAATTAACGGATGGAAGATCTTCCTCTCTGTCTCTGTATATCAGACTTTCCAATAAAAATATCTAAATCTTAGAAAAAAAATTTCCTCCTCTATTTTTTAAGTTTTGTTTTTAAAGATTAATTATTTTCATTGTAAAGTCAGAGATACATAGAGGAGGAGAAACAGAAAGAAAGATATTCAGTGCGCTAATTTACTCCCCAAGTGACTTCAAAGGCAGGAGCAGAGTTGATCTGAAACCAGCAGTCAGGATCTTTTCTCCAGGTCTCCCACGCGGGTGCAGGGTCCCAAGGCTTTGGGCTGTCCTCGACTGCTTTCCCAGGCCACAAGCAGGGAGCTGGATGGGAAGTGGAGCCGCCGGGATTAGAACCAGCGCCCATATGGGATCCCATATGGGATCCTGGCGCGTTCAAGGTGAGGATTTTCCACCAATAGCAATTTCTGGGGTTTCCACAAGATTATATAAAGATTTGATTCCAGAACCTCATTTATTAAAAAAAAAAAAGTAAGTCACGTATTGTTTACTTTGTGAAAGGATACACTGAAGACTGTACTTCATTGCTGTGTCCCAGTACTGAGCAGGCATGTGGAACTTGGTTATGGCTTAACGAATATTTGTTGTTGAATAAATACATAAACTTTAGAGCTATTGTGAACACTAAGGTTTTGTTTATTTGTCTTTGAGACAGAGCCACTAGGAGAGATCTCCCAACTCCCACCTTCCAGGTGCCCACCAACCACCGGCGTGGGGCCAAAGCCAGGAGCCCCAAGTCCTTCTGAGCCACCCACAAGCGTGGCAGCAAGTCAAGCCCTGGGGTCATCTTTCATTGCTTCCCCAGGCACTTCAACAGGGAGCTGGAACCCGCGTCTATGTGGTTCGTCTGGCGTCGTAGGTGCTGGTGGCGCAGATGGTGTAATTTGCTGGAAGAATTACCACCAGGTTTAGGCTAACTGAACCCTCCCCCACACATACCCCTGTCGGCTCCTGGAATTAAACACATTAGCATTCATGAATGTGACTTGAGCATTTCCTGCTAAGTTGGTTCGTTATTGTCATTCAGATTTGTTTAAATGGCGCTTCCTCGGAGAGTACCACTGATCTAAAGTGACTACTTTCTAGGCATAGTTTTTTCCGCCTTACTTGTTTATTGTTCCCGCAGTTTAAATTCCCTGAGGACTGAGACTCGGTCAGTCCTTAGCTTCATCCCTGAAGCAACGTGCTGCGTTTGCTCAAAGCATATTTGCTGAATAAACGAAATCATGATGATGACGATGACAAAAGCTCAGAGTGCCTGGTCACAAGTTAGGAGCAGTCTTCTCAGGACGAAGGACGGCTGTTGCGAAGTTAGGTCCCAGTAGACATGGTACCTGATGCAGTCATTCTGCGACCTAGGAGGAGTGGAGGAAGACACTGACACCATGGCTTCCCACGCCCCAGTCCCCGGAGGCCTCGCCAAAGGCAGGCCTAGGGTCTTTGGAATAGAAACTGCGGCCCAGCGCAGGCGGAAATTTTCCTTATGCCCTCTTAAGCCAGGCTTGCAAATGCGCAAACACCTCTAGGACCCCGGGTTTCCTTTCTGTTTCTTTATGAATGAACCGGCCCGCGCGCGCGCGTGCGCACCTCGCCGCTCTCCGGGTCCACGTGAGGCCCACCATTCCTTCCCGCCCGAGACTCCGCCCTCGCTCGTACCAACGGGCCAATGGCGAGCGGCCATGGGGGCGGAGCCGGGCGCCGGCGCTGCACGCCCCGCCCCCGGCGCCGGGCTCGCTCGGCCGAGTCGCGCTGTGTTGTGATCACGTGGCCGGCTCCGGGAGCGGCGCTTGTTTTGGTTTCTTGCAGCTTGCCCCGGACGCCTCGAGGTGAGGCACTTCGCCGCGAGCGCTTGCAGCACCTGCGGACGCACGCCGCCATCTCCGGCCTTCCGGGCTTGGGGCGGTCTCCTACCATGCCGCTGCTCCGCTACAGGAAGGTGGTCATCCTCGGGTACCGCTCCGTGGGTGAGTCCACCCGCCCTGCGGGCAGCACTGCCCGGCGCGCGCGCCGTGGCCGCGGGAACGGAGCCCTGGCAGCCACGAGGATGGCTCTGTGGGAGCGCGTTGGGCCAGCCGAGGATGGCACGGGTGTGGTGGTGTGCACGGGGCTGCAGGGAGCTGGGACACACGAGCATTAATGTGGACTTGGCTGCAGCAGCGGCCCCAGACCCACTACCCTGGGACTAGGGACAGTGGCGGGCCATGGCGATAGGGGGAAAGGGGCCTGGGGGCGTGCCGGAAGGGCAGGTTCTGCTTGGGACAAATAGTCTCAGGTATCCTGGAGTGGGGCTGACTTGAGTCTTGGGAAACCTGGATCTTTCTGGGGCCTTAGGGGAAAGACTTCCTAAGGCAATGCCCTATGCGTCTGGTCGCCCAAGTGCAGCCGAGACCCTGGCTGAGAGACAGCCGGGGGGAGGAACAGCATTGGGTGGGACATTGAGACTGGACCTCGGTGGAAAGGCGAGGGTGTGCAGGTGGTTGGTTGGAGGGTGTGGACGCGAGCCCCTCTGCTGCCCGCAGGGAAGACCTCTCTGGCACATCAGTTTGTGGAGGGCGAGTTCGTGGAGGGCTACGATCCTACAGTGGAGAACAGTGAGTGGCTTTCTGCCCTGGTGTGACTGGGATGGGACTGGCTGCTGCACTCAACATCACAGAACTTAGCACGGTGTGTGTGTGTGTGTGTGTGTGTGTGTGTGTGTGTGTGTGTGGCGTTTCCAGGACTGGGCCCATCTGCGCCACCCTCCGGATTAACGACGCGTGGGGGGCCATTTCACCATCAAGTTGTCTTTTCAGCTTACAGCAAGATAGTGACGCTCGGCAAAGATGAGTTTCATCTGCATCTTGTGGACACAGCTGGGCAGGTACTGGCGGGGGGCAGGTTTCCCAAATGTGGCGGCACCGGCCCAGATGAGTCCGGAGATCCCTGTGACTCGGGATGGGTGTTCTCAAGAGGACAGCCCGCTAGCCACTAAGCATTGCCAGGTTCACCCATAGCCCCGCGAGCAGAAGTGCCCGGACGCTGTCCCAGCAGCCTTTGCCATCCGTGTGGTGCAGATCCACGCACTCACGCTTCTTTCTTTTCAGGATGAATACAGCATTCTGCCCCACTCACTCATCATTGGAGTGCACGGTTATGTGCTTGTCTATTCTGTCACCTCCCTGCATAGGTAAATGACTGGCGTCCTGAGAGGGGGACCTTCCAACTGTCCCAGCATGAAGCTGTCCCAGCATGAAGCTTACACATCTTTGTGTGTGTGTGTGTTTAAAGCTTCCAGGTCATTGAGAGTTTGTACCAAAAGCTACATGAAGGCCACGGGAAAACCCGGTCAGATGCCTGGGGGGTGGGGGCTGTGGGGGTGGGTGGCGGGCAGGAACAGAGGGAAGCACTGTCCCAGTAGATTGGGACAGTAGGAGACTGGGACACAGGTCCTTCTCTGCCCGGTGGGGCGGTGGCCACTCTGACTTCCAGGTAGGGGTCCTTGGGGACCTGGGGAGCCCCTGTACTGACTGCTATTTGCTTATAGGCTACCAGTGGTGCTAGTGGGGAACAAGGCAGATCTGTCTCTGAACAGGTATGTAAACCTTGGCCGCTCAGGGTCCCGGTCAAGCTGCGGCCACCAACTCAAACAAGTCATTTCACCTTTCCATTGCTAATTTATGTGTTGAGAGAACAGAACCCGTGGAACTCAAAAAGTCATTTCCCCCGATTTGCTCCATTGTTCCTTGAATCAGCTGTATTTTCTGCCTTCTCAACCCTCCTCCCAGACCTTGGGATGTGGGGAGAGGTCAGAAGAGGTTTAGGTGCTAACTGGCAGAGCACGTGGGGCCAGTGGCCCCATCTTCATGTTCCAGTTTTGTTGTTGTTGGTTGTTTCCAGAGAGGTACAGGCAGTTGAAGGGAAAAAGCTGGCGGAGTCCTGGGGTGCGACGTTTCTGGAGTCGTCTGCTCGAGAGAATCAGGTGCTGGGCCTGATGACTGGGCAGCTGTCGGGTGGAGCGTTGCGAGGGGGGTGGGGTGTTGGCCTGGGAGCTGGCGGTGTGGCCACTGAACTCGCCGACTTTCCTCCTGCAACCCTGTCCCTTTGTAGCCAACTCGAAGCATCTTCATCAAAGTCATCCAGGAGATTACGCGGGTGGAGAACTCCTACGGGCAGGAGCGGCGATGCCATATCACGTGACTGCTTCTGGGTTTTGCCAGGGTCTGGTGGGAGGAGGAGGTGCGGGCCCTGAAGATCTCACAGCTATGGCTGCCAGTATGGCACCTTCATGTTTTACATACTTTCCCTGGGTTCCAGCAGTCAATGTTTACAACGGGGCAAGGATGGCTCACAGGCACAGATCTCCAGCCCCCTGTTTGTGCTATAGGAATTCTCTTTTAACCTGCAGGATTGAGTGAGTCCTGGTGTTGGCTTGTCTAGGCTCCATCCTTCTGTGTATATTCTGTCTCTTGGCTGGGTGGGGTGTGCTTACTATTTCTGAGGTAGAAACCTGGCTCCGGGGCGTGACATGTGTATATATGCAAATAAATGGAGGACTCTTTCTTGTTGACTTCTCTGGATCTTGGAGGGAATTCAGAGCCCATAGCTCCTTTCCAAAGTCACGAGGGTTATGGCTTTTGATGGGGAAGTTTCCACTTCCTTGCTTTTAGAGTAGCGTTACACTGAGTCTTGTCCATTCTGCTCGATTCTGTCTAGACTGAATCCCCCTGGCTGCCAGGCTCTCTAGTTCTGGTTCCCTACAGAAACACTACCCTCTAGTGGCCAGCTGCCACGTGCTGACCCGGCATCATTGCCAGGGAGGAAAGGATTGTGGGCAGGAAGGAAGCCCCTCATTCCTGGAGTCAGGAAGGCTGGAAATGCTGGGAAGATTCTGATCCCCTGAGTTAAGGAAGAAATAATGTCCCTGGCGGATTCTCGTCTCCCTGCTGCCCCCTTTCCCACTGCCTTTCGTTAAAGTGGACTTGTTCTGCTTCCTTTGAGCATCTGGTTAAGTTTTTGCACAGTTCGCATCTATGCAGTTACTCTGGATTTTGGGTAACAGGTTGCCGCTTCCGCCTTTTCTTACCTACCCGCCACTTCGGAAGCAGGAGAATCTCAGCCAGGAAGATTTGATTCTATTTGGCTGTTTCTCTAGACACTGCCCCGGCAGACCCTCCTTGGGCTCATCACCAGGAGGACATGGCCCCTCTCCTGCCAGCTGGGTAGAGCCCTCAGGTGCTCCAGCAGCCACTTACCTGGGCAGAAGGGACCAAAGACATGTGTGGACCGACTGGTTGGTTACTGTGATCTGGTTCTGGCCTCTGGTTGGAGTTGGTGGCTTGTCATGTTGGTTGTCCAAAGTCTTGCCCCTATTTTTGTTTCTGACTCAGCATCAAAGAAGTCAGGCCTGTTTGAAGAAACATGCTCCTTGCTTGGAGGTGTCTCTGGGGCTGTCACCAGCTTCCCTCCTCACACTGAAACAGTGTCCATCTGCACACCTGCCCTGGGGCACTCATGCCTCTTCCATGCAGTCTGGTGTCAATTTACAAACTTCGAAAGGTTTTCTAGAAGAGCATCTAAGAGCAATGTCCAGGAAACGGCTAACAGCTGTGTGACTTTCGGCAGTGACTCAACCTCCCTGAGCTCCAGGTTGCCAAGCATGAATGTGTAAAATACGCTTCCTAAGTCTGAAGTGATGTTTAGTACACTTAGTGCACACACACACACACACACAGTGCGCACTCTAAGAGTGGTTAGTTCCTTCCTGAAGTCATTTTAGCCTCCAGGCACCAGTAGGTAGGGAGTTACCTGTCCATTCCCATGTCTGGTCTCTGGGCTAGATTTAGTTAAAGCATTCCTCAGTTGCCCATCTTCAAGGTGCTCAATAGTGGTACGAGCTACTGTATCATGCAGTGTAAAGTTCATTTTTTCAAAGAAAGATTTGTTTATTTTTCTTGGAAAGGCAGATTTACAGAGAGAGGGGAAGAGACAGAAAATCTTCCCTCCTCTGGTTCACTCCTCAGTGGTTGCAACGGAGCAGATCTGAAACCAGGAGCCAGGAAACCGGTGCCCATGTGGAATCCTGGCATGGGGAGCAGGGAAGGTTAGCCCGTTCAGCCATTGTGCTGGGCCCTAGAAAGTTCTATGGGAGATGCAAGAAGCCCTTTCCCACTAGCCTAACTCCCAGCTGCGTGCATCCTCTACCACCTTCCTAGGCCAGGCTGATTACATGTGACCCTCTGGTGGCGTGCCAGTGGCTTCAACTGCTATTAGGGAGCAAATTCCCTAACTCGTGGAGGGCGAGGAGTCCGTAAGAGTACACACAGCGTCTAGCACATGGGTAATTTGTCTCCCGGCCACCCCACGTGGCTACGGCAATCCTCTCACCCAAACTTATGGGGCAGGAATCCTGTCCGGGATCGCAGTCCGCGGGTCGGGTCGCGCAGAGGTGGCCTTTGCTCACTCAGAGGGGAACTGGGCGGCGGTGGGGGTGGGGGCACGGCGCAGAGCAGGGGCGCCCTCGGTGCAGGTCGGGGTGCGCGCCTGCTAGGCCCCGCCGCGCCCTCCTCACCGGGGGGCTCTGGGGGGCCCGGAAGGGCAAGGCCCGAGGCGGCCGGGCGTCCTCGGAGCCCCCGGAACGTGGAGAGAACCCACCCTTTCGCAGCGCCTTAGCGCCCAGCCCGACTTTCTCCATTTGCGGACTCCAGTTCCCAGGATTCCGAGCAGCGGCCAATCTCCGGGCTCGCCTTCCACCTCCCCTCCCGCCCGCCCCAACCTCCTCCCGGGAAATGCTGCCCTTGGCCCAAGGCACGGGGGGGAAGCACTGGGGAGTTTCGGCGGATCCGTGACTGCGAGGGTCGGGGATCCGAAAGGGGCGCGAGCGGCCGGCCTCCCAGCCCCGCGCGTCCCGGAGCCGGCGAGGACGACGAGGGGGTTCGGTTCCCACGTGTCCGCGCCGCCGTCGCCGTCGCCGCCCGCCGCCCGGCAGCGCCGGGGTTAACCCGCGGCGGAAGGATCCGCGGCGTGTGCGTAGAACTGCAGAGTCACAGCCCTTCCTCCGCGAGGGCCGAGTCCCTCCGCCGCCCCGCTCCGACACAAAATAGGGCGGCCTCGCCTCCTTTCTCCGCGTCGCGCGTGGGGCTGTCCGGGCCAGGCGCCCTCCCGGGGTCCCGCGCCGGGCGCTCGGCGGAGCTCCACGACCGGCCGGCCGCCTCTGGCGCCGGGAGACCGCCGCGGCCGCAGGAACCACCCCGCCGGCCGAGCGGGAGGCGACGCGGGAGGAGGGGGGTGCCGAGGGAGGAGGAGGAGGAGGAGGAGAGGCGGAGCGGCGCCGCGCTGCACTACTTTCCTCTCCGGTTGCAAATGGCTGCCTCGTTCCCCACTTTGCGCTCAGTTTCCTGACCCCCCGGGCGCCGGGAGCCGGGGTAGGGCCATGCACCTCTAGGCCCCCGTTTTTTTGCCCGCGACCACAAGCCCGCCGGGGGGTCGAGGGGGGCGCCCGGCGAGCGGAGCCGGCCCGGGCCGGGGGCGGGGCAGCGGCTGCTCCCGAGGCCGGAGAGGGGAAGGGAGGCGAGCGGCAGGCAGGGCCTCGGAGCGGCCGGCGGGGAGCGGGCCAGAGGGCTCGCGCCGCCCGCCCGCCCCTTCCTCTTTCTCAGCCGGCTAGCCTCCTCCCTTCCCCGGGGGTGGGGTACGGTGGGGGGCCCGCGGGCGAGGCGCCCCGGCGCTGGGTGTGCGCGCGCGCGCGCGCGGGTGTGTGTGTGTGTGTGTGTGTGTGTGTGTGTGTCAGGCTCAGCCCCGCGGCCCCGGCGGCTCGGCGGCGCCCGCAGCTCGCGCGGCCCCGGGGCGCCGGGCCCGGGGCGGGGAGAAGGGCTCGGCGCCGCGGCCGGGAGGCTCTCGGCGGCTCCGGCCCGGCGCGCGCGGCGGCGGCGGCGGCGGCGACGCTCCTTCCGGGCTGCGGGGAGGCGCCTCGGCGTTCCATCTGGAGAGCCCCGCCGGCGTAGGGCGCGAGCCCGGCGCGGGCGGCCGGGGCGCTGGCCGGGCCCCGGGACTGAGAGGCCGCCCGGCGGTGCGGATGCGCTGCCTGCTCGCCCGAGATCAAAGCCACCGGTGCTCTCTTTGTGTCCGCTCCGGATTCGTCGCCCCGAGGCTGGCCGTGGACATCTAAAAAAACTGCTGGAACCCCCGCCCCCCCCACCCCCGAGGCCGAGAGCCGCGCCGGCACCCTCGTCCATCTTCGGCGTCTGGCTGGTTCGTGGGGAGGGTGGCCACTCCGACCTGGATTTACCGTTCTTGGCCCCCGTGAGCCCCCCCGTGCGGGGGGCGCCGGTGATCGCTCTGGCGGTTGGAGGTCGGGGAGCGGCCCGGGCTCTGGCCATGTTCTCGGATGAGGATTTCTGGATCACCCTGTGAAGAGGTGAGTGGGGTCCGCCGGCCGGCCAGGGCCTGGGAGGGCCGGGGCCGGGGCCGGCGGGGGGCGCCCGGCCAGATGGACTGGGGTGGCCGGGGCTGGCGGACCTGCGGAAGGCTCGCTTTGGCAGCGGGGTCCGCCGGGGGCCGAGCCGGCAGCCCAGGGCAGAGCTGAGGCCTGCTCCTGCGGGGTGTGCCTCTGGAGAGACGGGGTCCGGGAGTAGGTTTTCGGGGAGCCCGTCCAGAGCGCCTTTTCTGTTTATTTTTGTGCCGGGAGAGTCGTGGGGGGAGGAATTGGACTAAGCTAGGACTAACCCAGGCCTCGATGCCGCTGCCATTCCTCCGGAGGACCTTGGTGGGACTTGGGACTCGGCGTGGGGGTGGGGGTGCCTCTGCCAGCTCAGACTTCGTGCCAGGTTGGACCCTAGGGTTACTGTTGCCCGGTCTAGTAGCCAGTTAGAAGTAGTGTCTGGGAACCTCCAAGAAGCCCAAACTCACCAGGCCTTTCTCTCTCTCTCTCTCTGTGGGCTAGGGGGAGGGTGTGTGGAAACTAGCCAGTGGGTTGAAGGGGGTGATCGGAGCCAGAAGGTGGCGGGGCTGGGGGAAGCTCTGCCCCCCACCCCCCACCCCGTTGGTCAACTTTAAATTACCCCTGCCTGGTAAAGTGACCTCAGCGAGGCCTAGTGCTGTCTTAGCCTGCTTTGCCTCCCCTCCTCTCGGGATGGACATAATCTCCAGGGGATTACAGAGGAGGCCGTTGAGATTTGCTCCCTGCGAATGTGGGCTACCAAAAAAAAAAAAAAAAGGTTTTGTCTCCCCCTTTTTCTGGGTGTGCTGCCGGGAGCTGGCTGCCCGGGAGTCTGTTGGCCAGTGCTGCCCCTCTCAGACCCCTTCAGCCCTGCCCGGACTGGGCCCGGGCCACCTCTGCCGAGGCGGGTGGCCTTGTGCCTCTTGGGGGGACAGGCCTTTCTGCTGGAAGTCAGTGGCCCTTCGCAGCCCTGGCCGGAGGTGTTGGGGGATGAGGGGTGTGTGTGTGGCGCGCCCACGCAGGAGGGTGCGGTGTGGCCTCCTGCCTCTGGGCTCCCGCCTGGAGTAGCCTCTCTCACACCTGTCATGCTGCCCAGCAGGGATTTGGCTAGTGCGTTTCGCTCCCTCCCTCCACCCCCTCCAACATACATGTGCTCGCTCTCTTGGAGTCTTGTCCTGGAAAGGCCAAAGCGAGGGTTTTGCCCTTGGGAGGTGGCCCAGGGATGGCAGAGAGAGGTGAGCTGTCCGTCTCGCCCTCTGCTGCTGCGTTCCCTTGGAGGATGCCGTTGGCTGTCTCCCAGCAGCTCCCCGGGGTGAGGCTGCACCTAGGGTGGCCCAGGGACTGTGCCCAGGGTCTGTAGCCCCTGGATGTCCGCCCCAGTCCTTCCCTGAGGGCTGACCCCAAATGGGGGTGGGGCGAGGTGTGGTTGGATCCTCAGACTGGGAACCAGGAAGTCCTGAGCCCTGCTGAAGAGCTGTTCGCTTGGGGCCTGCTCCAGCTCTGCTTCCCTCCAGGCCCCCCCCTCTGTCACTCTTGCTGGGAGGAGGCCAGTTTTCTTGCTGCTCTTGGGGTTGGGGTTGGCCCATTGGGTAGGCCTGGAGGGTGAGCACCACTTTTTCCCCTAGTTCTGTGCTTGCTGTCTGCTTTCAGGGCAGAAGCCTGACCAGGGACTAGCCTAGTGTAAGCTAGTGTGTGTGTGCGCGCGTGCATGCTGGCTTGGAATCACGGGGCAGGGGGAGCCTATGGTCTTGGTTTACTGTGATATGACCAGGAGCACGGTCATTATGGGGCTTGGCGTTAGGGTACAGGTGCTGGGTTGCGTGCTGAAGGCTCAGGCGGCCTGGAGGTGCCCCTAGATGGTCTTTCGGGGGCATCCTGCAGGACGCTAGCTTCTTGCTGCTTAACTCTGCTGCTGAGCCCTCCTCAGTGGGGCCTTGCCTTTGAGGGGCTGGTCCACCACCTCCCAAGGTAGATGGAGGTGGTTTCTGTACCTCCTTGGGCAGTGCCAGCCTTGCTGACCTGAGAGGTCTGTGCCCAGAGGAAGGTGGAGGAGTTTGTCCCTCTGGCCTTGTGTGAGTCCCCTGCCCACTCTTAGCAGCGCTGCCGTTTCTTGTTTGTGTCCCCGTTGGTGTCGGCTGTGAGAGCAAAGCCGGTGGAGAAGCTCAGGGGCAGGTGGTGGGAAGATGGCATAAAGGGCAAGCAGTTAGAAAACCCAGGTCTCTTTGGGTCTTCAGGGTGTGGCTGGGCCTTAAACGAGACTGAGTTAGGAAGAGAGAGCCTGGCCAGTGTCCTGGCCTCCGTTGCCTACTTCCGGTGGGTGGCCTCTAAGTGCTGCTTGAAGTTCTGGAGCAGCTTGGCCGTGAGCTTCCAGGTGTGGCTGTGTGGCAGGTGTGGGAATGGAGGTGACAGGTGTCACGTGCCGTTTTCCTTCGTTAGTAGATGGTGAGTGTTGAGGGGAGAGGTCAGGGACTAACCCATCCTGGGACACGGGTCTGTAGGGGTGTTGCCCATACAGCTCCAGGGAGGAGGGCTGATCCAGTGGTCCTCAGGCTCATGGCAGCATGCCCACTGTTGAGCCCCGAGCAGCCGGCTGGGGTGCTTGCCTTCCTGTGTGAGGGGAGTGGGCTGTCCGTTCTCAGGTGGTGAGGACGTTCTGATGAGAGGAGGGAGAAGGTGGCAGATGAGTGTTTGAGGCTCTGAACTGCATGGTTTGTGCTGAGGGAATCCCCCTGCCCTGTCAGCGCCTGCTCAGGGACGTGTGTACTTGCTCTCCCAGGAGCGCTGGGCACCCGTGCTCCCTTCTGGAGCTTCCCTCTCCTGTCAGTACCTCGGGCATTCTTATGCTTGACTTTTTCCACACCGTGCCTACTTCACCTGTCGGCTCCAGTACGGTGTGCTTAAAGGTGTGGGTCTCAACTTTTCCAAGAATGACTTTAGTGAGTCTCACTGGGCTCTGGTATAGGCAGGTGTATCTTCAGAGAGAGGGCATGGGACCATTATAACTCCCGCCCCTTCGCTCAGAGTGTGTGGAAACCCTGTTTGATGGAAGAGGAAGGAAGCCACTGTGCTCTGCTGTGTCCTGCACTGTTTTGAACTCCTCCAAGTGGCAGTGTGCTTCCTGAGACTACAACTCCCAGCATGCCTAGCCTCAGGCCTGGCTACACATGCTCAGTAACTCCTGCATCTCACTTCTGTTAACTACTGGGGAGGTCTGAGGAGGAAGGGCAGTTGGTGTTGCTAAGGGCAACAACTTGAGGCCTTCAAGTTGGGTGATAGCCTGTCCTGGGTTAGGGCTGGGGCCGTAGGGTGGGCCTGCGCTGGATTTGGACTGACAGTGCGTGGACAGTGGGAGTGTCTTCTGTAGGGACTAGTCTTGGGGTGTCCTTGCTGAAACCAGTGGGGGTGGCAGAGATCCACTTATGGTTAGGCTTTACTTGCATAGTGTGTTCTGTCTCTTGCAAGATTCTAGCCCTCTGCCACCGGGATTTGGGTCAAACTCAAGACTTCCTGGGTCATGACTGTCCCTGGGTTGGCATCGACAGGCCTCAAGGATGGTATTGGGGGTGGGAAAGGCATGGGAGAGGGCCCACCTGAAGCTGGGGACTCAGAGATGAGGCAAAGTGCAGTCCTTGAATGTGCTTCGAGTTGGTGCTATATCCTTGGGAACTGCTATGGAGGAGGCTAGAAGTGGGACAGTGGAGGAGGTTCCCTGAGAGTCCAGAGTGGGAGAAGAGGGTTTGTGGTGACCCAGAGAGAGCTAGGCAGTGGCGGGCACAGGGCCAGGGAGAGTGACTTTTCCTTGTCGTTAGTGTGGGGTTTCAAGGTGTGGATTTGCTCTGAGGTGTGTGGGGTCTATGTGCCATGAGCTGACTTCCTCTTGGGATTCTGGAAAAAATGCTTCCTGAAGAGACTTACTGGACAGACAGATATCCTCCTTGGCACCAACAGGTCTCCCCGAGAGGGCCCTGCCCAGTCGGAGAGAGGGATGGACAGCCAGAAGCCGCCTGGTGAGGATAAAGATTCAGAACCAGCAGGTGAGAAGGGCAACTTCTGGGTCTGCTGTCATGCAGCCTTAGATTCTGGTCCTGGTACAAGGACACAAACTTTGTTCTGGCCCACCGAAGTCTGGGGTAATCTTGGGGCTCTGGGCAGTAGACAAGGTGCTCAGCCAAGCTGATGGTGTGCTGCTCCATCCTTGCAGCTGATGGAGCTGCGGCCGCTGAGGAGCCCGACCTTCCCGGCCCTCCTGTCGGGGAGGGGCCTGTCCCCAGTCCTGGGAGTACCCGGCTTCAGGAGCCACGCAGGGACTGCAGGTAACTTGTGGGGACAGGGGACACGGGGACACAGGAGGATGTGATATGAGAGAGTGGGACTTCCAGGAAGAGGGACAGGAAAATGAGTGTCTGGGAAGCCTGAGCCTGCCAGATTCTGGGCTTGGCAGGCCTGGCACGGTGCTGACGCTTGTGTGTCCACAGTGGGGGTCCAGTGCGGCGCTGTGCTCTCTGTAACTGCGGGGAGCCTAGTCTGCATGGGCAGCGCGAGCTACGGCGCTTTGAGTTGCCATTTGACTGGCCCCGGTGTCCAGTGGTGTCCCCTGGGGGGAGCCCAGGGCCCAGAGAGGCAGTGCTGTCCAGTGAGGACCTATCACAGATTGGTTTCCCTGAGGGCCTTACACCTGCCCACCTGGGAGAACCTGGAGGTGAGTGAGGGGAAGTGGGGCAGGCTGTGGGGAAGGGGCTGGGGAAGCACCTAGTTGTTGACTCTGGCCTTTCTGTTTCCCGGTTCCCACCTGTAAAGGGTTCTGCTGGGCTCACCATTGGTGTGCTGCGTGGTCGGCAGGCGTCTGGGGGCAGGAGGGCCCAGAACTATGTGGTGTGGACAAGGCCATCTTCTCAGGGATCTCACAGGTGGGGCTGGGGCGAGAGGACTGCCTAGGCGCTGGGCAGGCAGGGCTGGTGGGCTGTCCGAGGAGGACAGTGGGGGCGCCCGGGCTGTGTCTGCAGAGGGCTGGCTGGCGCTGAGGCTTTGTCTTCACCCTGGCAGCGCTGCTCCCACTGCACCAGGCTCGGTGCCTCCATCCCTTGCCGCTCGCCTGGATGTCCACGGCTTTACCACTTCCCCTGTGCAGCTACCAGTGGTTCCTTCTTGTCCATGAAGACACTGCAGCTGCTCTGCCCAGAGCACAGTGAGGGGGCTGCACATCTGGGTGAGGAGTCGTGTCCTCGGACACGGGGCAAGTGCTGGGCGTGTGTGTGCGCGCACGCTCTGCAGTCTGTGCTTGGGTGCTGTCTGAAAGCGTGTCTCTGGTGAGCACTCTGGCTCTGTCTCCTTTACCTCACTGCCTGTGGGGCCTGGCGGAGTATGGGCAGGTGCCCCGTTTCCATTTGTTATTCCCTCCACATCGTGGGACGTGTGTGTGTGCCTAGCAGCATGCTGCATCTCCTGCAGCATCTCTGACTGGTGCCTACTGCCCTTCCCTGCAGAGGAGGCTCGCTGTGCTGTCTGTGAGGGGCCAGGGGAGTTGCGTGACCTGTTGTTCTGTACCAGCTGTGGGCATCACTACCATGGGGCCTGCCTCGACATTGCTCTGACGGCCCGCAAGCGTGCGGGCTGGCAGTGCCCTGAATGCAAAGTGTGCCAAGCCTGCAGGTAAGAATACGAGGGCCAGGGGGGAGACTTGGGTACAGCAGCAGGTAGTTTTGGCCATGAAGGCAAGGAGGACCCTGAAATGTCCCTCATGTCGCTGCAGGAAACCTGGGAATGACTCTAAGATGTTGGTCTGTGAGACGTGTGACAAGGGATACCATACTTTCTGCCTGAAACCACCCATGGAGGAGCTGCCTGCTCATTCTTGGAAATGCAAGGTGGGTGTCCCCAGTTGACGCCTCGTTTTCCTCAGTTCTGCTCCCTGAGCATACCAGAATACCCCTTTGGTAACGAATCGGGTGCAAAGGGACCTCACAGAGTTAACAGTGGGTAACTTGGCATAGCAGTTAAGTCGCACTTCAGACACCTGCTGCTGTGCCGTGCGTGCCTGTGTTCAATCCTGGCTATTCAGCTTCTTCCTGATGTTAGCTCTGGGGAGTAGCACGTGACAAACCCCAGTATTTGTGTTGTTGCCACTCATGGGAGACCTGAATTGAATTCTGGGCTCCTGATTTTAGCCCAGCCCAGCCCAGCCCAGCCCTTGTTATTGTGGCCGTCTGGGGAGTGAACCACTGGATGGAAGATCTCTGTTTCGCTCTTTGCCCCTTCCTCCACCTTTGTATCTGATTTTCAAATAAGATGAAAATGTGAAAGCTTTTTTCAGTTTGTGAAAAATGGAATTAAAAGGTAAATTTATTTTCATGTGAAAAATTTGAAAATCCATGCATATCATCACAAAACTCATGGAACATAAATATCATGAAAAATAAAATGTATAGACTTCGAAATTATTGCACCAAAATAAACTTTCTAAAATCATGTTTTTTTTTAAAATTAGGGTCTTACTAATTTGAAAGGCAAAGTAACAAAGAAGGGGAAAGGCAGATAGCTTTTCCATCCACTGGTTCACTCCCCAAATGGCCGCAGTGGCCAGGACTAGGCCAGGCTGAAGAGCCAGAACTCCGTTCAGGTCACTGCTGTGGATGGTGGGGACAGAAGTAGGTGGGCCACTTTCTGTTTGCCCAGATGTGTTTGCAGCAGCTGGGTCAGAAGCAGAGCCATCATGCTTGGAAATAGAGCTCCCTTATGGGGTGCCGGTCTCCTCAGCATTTGGTTTAACCCAGTGTGTCAGAATGCTGATCTCCAAAGTAAACTGTTGATTTGAAGTCCCCTCCTATTTTCTTCTGGTTTTTGCTGTCTGTTTGACCAAGGCCTGTTTCACCCACCGCCTCTCCCCTAGGCATGCCGGGTATGCCGCGCTTGTGGGGCAGGCTCAGCAGAGCTAAGTCCCCACTGTGAGTGGTTTGAGAACTACTCACTCTGTCACCGCTGTCACGAAGCCCAGGGCGGTCAGCCAGTCAGTTCTGCGGCTGCGCAGCTCGCCCCCGTCTGTGGCAGGTGAGGACGTAGACAGAAACTGGGGTGGGAGGTCGGAACTGACATGGGCAGGGGCCATACTTAATCAAACGTGTTTTTAGGGGGAGAGGGCTCAGATGGGCAATACAGCCCTGCCCCACTGTGTTGTCTGGTAGTTGTTGACTGGCAAGAGCCATAGTGTCTGCTCCCCTGTACCCTCTGCAGATTTTCACCCCCAGAGCCTGGTGGTGATACCCGTACTGACGAGCCTGATGCTCTGTACGTTGCATGCCAAGGGCAGCCAAAGGGTGGGCACGTGACCTCTATGCAACCCAAGGAACCAGGGCCCCTGCAATGTGAAGCCAAACCACTAGGTGAGTAGGATTTGAGGGTCGTGAAATGAATCCCCTCTTCCTCTGTGGTAAGAGGCATCTGTGCTGTGTGCTCTGTGGGGAGTGTACCTGGGCTTGATAGGAATATTATGTCTTGTGTCTGCAGGGAGAGCAGGGGCCCAGCTTGAGCCCCGACTGGAGACCCCCCGAAGTGAGGAGATGCCACTGCTGCCCCTCCCTGAAGAGTCACCCCTCTCCCCGCCACCCGAGGAATCGCCCACATCTCCACCACCTGAAGCGTCACGTCTGTCACCGCCACCCGAAGAGTCGCCCCTCTCCCCACTGCCCGAGGAGTCTCCTCTGTCTCCCCCACCTGAAGTATCATCCTTTTGTCCCCGGGAGGAGTTGCCCTTCTGTCCACCACAAGAGTTGCCTGCATCTCCTGCTCTGGACACGCCCCTGTCCCCGCCACCTGAAGCGTCCACCTTGTCCCCACCATTGGAGGAGTCTCCCCTGTCCCCACCACCTGAGGAACTGCCCACTTCCCCACCCCCTGAAGCATCGCGCCTGTCTCCACCGCCTGAGGAGTCGCCCATGTCACCTCCGCCGGAGGAGTCGCCCATGTCTCCACCTCCCGAGGCGTCTCGTCTGTTCCCGCCATTTGAAGAGTCTCCCCTGTCCCCTCCTCCTGAGGAGTCTCCTGTCTCCCCACCACCTGAGGCCTCACGCCTGTCCCCACCGCCTGAGGACTCACCCATGTCCCCACCACCCGAAGACTCGCCTATGTCTCCCCCGCCTGAGGTGTCGCGCCTGTGCCCACCACCTGAGGAATCCCCCTTATCCCCACCCCCTGAGGAGTCCCCCACATCACCTCCACCGGAGGCCTCACGCTTGTCCCCGCCGCCTGAAGACTCGCCAGCATCCCCACCGCCAGAGGACTCACTCCTGTCCCTGCCCTCGGAGGAGTCACCTCTTTCACCGTTGCCTGAGGAGCTGCCACTCTGCCCTCCACCTGAGGAACCCCGACTCTGCCCCCAGTCTGGGGAGGCGCACCCGTCTCCTCAGCCTGAGGAGATGTGCCTGTCCCTCGCCCTCGAGGACCCCTGTGTGTCCTCACAGCCGGAGGAGCTGCACCTGTCTCCTGTGCCTGAGAAGCCACGTCTGTCCCCCCAACCTGAGGAACCGCATCTATCCCCCCGGCCTGAGAAATCTCACCTGTCCCCCGAGCCTGAGAAGCCACGTCTGTCCCCCCAACCTGAGGAACCACACCTGTCTCCTGGGCCTGAGGAGCCACACCTGTCCCCCCGATCCGAGGAACCATGCCTATCACCCCAACCCGAGGAACCTTCATGCCTGTCCCCACAACTTGAGGAACCTTCACAGCTGTCTCCACAAACTAAAGAGCCATGCCTGTCCCCCCATCCTGAGGAACCTTCACGCCTGTCCCCCCAACCTAAGGAGCCATGCCTGTCACCCCAACCGGAGGAACCATATCTGTCCCCTCGACCTAAGGAGCCGCACCTGTCCCCCCAGCTGCAGGAACCATGCCTGTCCCCTCAGGCTGAGGAGCCGCCCCTGTCCTCTCAACCTGAGGAGCTGGCTCTGTCCCCTCAGCCTGGGGAGTCGCACCTGTCCCCACGGCGGGAGGCAGCAGGCCAGCACACTGCCCCCGAGGCACTGGCCTTGTTCCCCCAGCCTGGAGAGCCACCTGTAGCCCCCTTGCTTGGAGAGCCGGCTCTGTCTGAGCCTGGGGAACCACCTCTGTCCCCTCTGCCTGAAGAGCTGCCCTTGTCACCATCTGGGGAGCCATCCTTGTCGCCTCAGCTGATACCATCAGGTAAGGTAGTAGTAGTGTATGGCTCCGGGATGGTAGTGTCTCTGTGGGAACGTCTTAACCCCCTATGGTGCATCTAATCTAAGAGCCCCTTGTTTTCTCTTTCTCTCCAGATTCTCTTCCTCCTCCACTTTCACCCATTATTACAGCTGTGGCCCCACCAGCCCTGTCTCCTTTGGGGGAGTTAACATACCCCTTTGGTGCCAAAGGGGACAGTGACCCCGAGTCGTTGGCTGCTCCCATTCTAGAGACCCCCATTAGCCCTCCACCTGAAGCTCACTGCACTGACCCTGAGCCCGTGCCCCCAATGATCCTGCCCCCGTCCCCAGGCTCCCCTCTGGGCCCGGCATCTCCCATCCTGATGGAACCCCTGCCCCCTCCATGTTCTCCGCTCCTCCAACATTCCCTGCCTCCCCCAAGTTCTCCTCCTTCCCAGTGCTCGCCTCTGGCTCTGCCGCTGTCTCTGCCTTCCCCGTTGAGTCCTGTAGGAAAGGCAGAGCCCCTCTCAGATGAGCCTGAGCTACACCCGATGGAGACTGAGAAGGTCCCAGAGCCCGAGTGCCCGGCCTTGGAACCCAGTGTCACCAGTCCTCTTCCCTCCCCGATGGAGGAGCTGTCCTGCCCCGCCCCCAGCCCTGCACCAGCCCTGGAGGACTTCCCTGGCCTGGGGGAGGACACGGCCCCTCTGGATGGGGCTGCTGCTGCTCATGCACAGCCAGCGGCGGGAGAGGCCCCTGGCAGTGAAGTGAAAGGCTCCCCTGAGCTCCTGGACCCTGAGGAGCTGGCCCCTGTGACCCCTATGGAGGTCTATGGCCCAGAATGCAAGCAGCCAGGGCAGGGCTCACCCTGTGAAGAGCAGGAGGAACCACGTGTAACAGTGGCCCCCACACCACCTACTCTCATCAAATCTGATATTGTTAATGAAATTTCTAATCTGAGCCAGGGTGATGCCAGTGCCAGTTTTCCTGGTTCGGAGCCCCTGTTGGGCTCTCCTGACCCTGAAGGGGGTGGCTCCCTGTCCATGGAGCTAGGGGTATCTACGGATGTGAGTCCAGCCCGAGATGAGGGCTCCCTGCGGCTCTGTACCGACTCGCTGCCAGAGACTGATGACTCACTCTTGTGTGATGCTGGGACAGCCGTCAGCGGAGGCAAAGCTGAGGGGGACAAGGGGAGGCGGCGTAGTTCTCCAGCCCGTTCTCGCATCAAACAGGTAAGGGGCTGTCTAATCGCCGGGTGAGGCACATGTTTGATTTCATTAAGGAGAATACCAGCTGGCATACCGAGGGGGCAGATCTGCTCTGATGTGTGGTATTCAGTGATAGAGCTGGTACTCTCAAGCCACTATTCATTCTCCTTGTACTGTGTTGGCCACTTCTTCTGGGGGGGAAGGGGGTGCGGCGGAAGAGAATGGGTCTAGGCCAGAGCTGTCTACTGGTGCATATCGGAGCGTGGTTTTTTTTCCCGCTTTCCCTGAGTAGAACTCCTGGGCCATACTACCTGTCACACTGTCCCTTGTCCCTTGCCAGCTTGCAGACTCTGCATGCTGACCCTTAACCTGCTTCTGTGACTGTCCTTCACTCAGGGTCGCAGCAGCAGTTTCCCAGGACGACGGCGACCTCGAGGAGGAGCCCATGGAGGACGAGGGAGAGGACGGGCCCGGCTAAAATCTACTACGTCTTCCGTTGAGACTCTGGTAGTAAGGAGAGACTTGCCATCCCTCCAAGCACACTTCACATGGCTCTTTGAGTCTAGCCAGTCCCCCAGCTTTGCCTAGGATCTGTGTGCTTGAGTCTGTGTTCCTCTTGTCCACTCAGCCCCTGGGCAGCTATGGGGTCTTGGCCATTGGGCTGAGATCTAGCTTGGGAGACACTCCTGGCTCCTGGCCTTCATCTTAGCCAGCATCCCTGCAAAACTGTAGAGGAAGGCGGTTGATTTGAGCAAGTTTTTCTGCCTCACTTTCTACAACTCTCCCTGAAAGGTTGCTGATATCGATGGCTCCCCCAGCAAGGAGGAGGAGGAGGATGACGACGACACCATGCAGAACACTGTGGTCCTCTTCTCCAACACGGACAAATTTGTCCTAATGCAGGTACCATCCTTGGCTGGGCTCGTCCCTTCCTTAGCAGTGAGACCTGTTGGTTGTGTGCTTTACTGAAAAAGCAAGTAAGGATAGCTAGGCTACGCTTCTGGGGAGACCCAGCCAGTACCAGACAGCGAAGCACAGTCACATCGCTTGGTGGTTCCTTCATCCATCAGAGACCTTGAGAACATCTCTGAACTTGGGTGCAGGTAGGAGATAGAGACCCAGCAGTGAGAAAGGCAGAGAGGGCCTTTGTCCTTGAAGCTCATAGTCTAGGGAGCTTAAATATGATCTCACCTGATGATAGTGAGTTTTTCGATATTTACTTGTGTGATAGGCAGGGAGATGGAGAGAGAACTCTTGTTTACTGTGTTACGTCTCTGCAGCCTGCAAGGACTAGGTGTGGGCCAGGCTGAAGCCCTGGTGGGGAACTCGGTTTACATCTGCTGATGTGGGTGGCAGGAGCCCAGTTACTTGAGCCATCATTACCACTGCCTCCCAGGGTCCAAGTTAGCAGATAGTTCCTCTCAGGAGCTGGAGGTGGATGTGGAGCTCAGACACTCTGCTAGGAATATGAATGTCGTAACTGGTGTCCTAACTGCTAGGCCAAGTGGCCACTCCCTAATAACCCTGAAGCTCATGGGATGGTGTCATATGTGTGGTTCTTACTAAGTCAGGTTTTTACCGCATCTTATGTTTCTTCAATTTCTCATGACTTTTATCCATGTCAGGCTTTATAAATTCAAGTTACTTGACTAGGTGAACAAGGTATCCTTGGAGGGAGCCCTAAGGTGGCTTCTAGTGTCTGAGGGCTGTGGGCTGAACCTCTGCCTTCGTGACTCCCTGGGCTAAGGTTAGAGTTGAAGGGAGTCAGTTGGCTCGGTCTGAGTGGGGTGCAGGAGTGTTGCTGGATCCCTGGTCTCTTGTCTCCCCAGGACATGTGTGTGGTATGTGGCAGCTTCGGCCGAGGTGCAGAGGGCCACCTCCTGGCATGTTCGCAGTGTTCTCAATGCTACCATCCCTACTGTGTCAACAGCAAGGTGAGTGTGGTACCTAGGTGTGTGTACTGTGATCTGGGGCCACAGGTGCCTGATCCTTGCCACAGCAGCTATGGCTCTTAGAAATCATTCCTCAAACGTGGTTGTCAAGCCTGTCTAGGGGAGAAATATGGTACTCTCCACAGTCTATAGTTTCTTTGTGGTAGGTCATGACTTACTAGGGCAAATTTTTTTATTGTCTTAGCTAGGGCAATTCAGCACATCATACAATCTTTGACAATGTCTTTGTGGGTTTTTTTTTTGTTGTTGTTGGTGTTGTTACTTTTTGTTTTTTGAGAAACAGCTCTTACTGGTTCACTCCTCAAATGCCTGCAACAGCTAGGGCTGAGTGATCTGAAGCCAGGAGCCAGCTATCCACTGTTGGTTCCCCATGTGGGTTGTAGACCCAGCTGTGTGAGCCTTTGGCTGCTGCTTCCCTTGGCCCACATTAGCAGGAAACTGGGATTGGGAGCAGAGCCAGAGGACTCAGACTTAGGCATTTTGATATGGGCTGCAGGTGCTTTAAATGGTGGCTCAGGCATTGGGCCAAAAGTTGGCCCTTTAACTGCGACTTTACTAGTAGAAGCTGTCATATGGAGGTACATAAAATGGATTAAAATCAGGAGTACACGCCTGAAAGGAGAAAGCATTTTTAACCTAATTATGAACTGTCATTTTAGGGTTTGTCCACTGCTTACATTTAGTAACTTGCAGCAGTGGCAGCTTTAACTTTTGAAGAAAAGTGAGGGGAGACTTAGTCCTACATGGTCTTCTGAAGTTTGGCTAGTGACAGGTTACCATTCCACTGTCAGGATTCGGCAGAGGATGGAGAGTTTCAAGCCACTATTGTGGAAGCAAGGGCACCCTGTGCTCGATCAGAAGCCTTGCCTGGCTCATGCGGTTGCCCCAAACCCCTCCAGCCAGAGTCCCACCCTCCATGCCCACCCTGTGGGATGGCCCTCTGTCTTCTCCCTCAGATTACCAAGGTGATGCTCTTGAAGGGCTGGCGCTGCGTGGAGTGCATTGTGTGCGAGGTGTGCGGCCAGGCCTCTGACCCCTCTCGCCTGCTGCTGTGTGACGACTGTGACATCAGCTATCACACCTACTGCTTGGACCCTCCACTGCTCACAGTGCCCAAGGGCGGCTGGAAGTGCAAGTGGTGAGGAAGGGCTCTCCAGTAGGGCAGGCACCAGAGATGCTATAGTGCTGTCACGTTGAGTGCCTGGCAGAGGCCGGGTTGGGGCTGTGTGAGTTGCTGGGCCCATGCCTGCCATGAGCAGGGAAGGTGCTGAAGAGGTGTCTCTTGCCCCTCCCAGGTGTGTGTCCTGTATGCAGTGTGGGGCCGCTTCCCCTGGCTTCCACTGTGAGTGGCAAAATAGTTACACACACTGTGGGCCCTGTGCCAGCTTGGTGACCTGCCCCATCTGCCATGCTCCTTACGTGGAAGAGGACCTGCTGATCCAGTGCCGACACTGTGAACGGTGAGAAGGTCGCTGTCCCCTGTACTGCCTGTAGTAGCCACAGCCTCACGTGGCAGAGACTCATCTCCCATTTCTGCTCTCCCAGGTGGATGCATGCTGGCTGTGAGAGCCTCTTCACAGAGGATGATGTGGAGCAGGCAGCCGATGAAGGCTTTGACTGTGTCTCCTGCCAGCCCTATGTGGTGAAGCCTGTGGGTGAGTGCCAGGCGCAGGGCAAGTCAGGGCATGGGCGCCTTGCCTTGGGACAGGGCCTCCAGCAGCTCTGGTGTGTCCTATCCACAGCACCTGTTGCGCCTCCAGAGTTGGTGCCTGTGAAAGCAAAGGAGCCAGGTGAGTCACCAATGCTGATTGCCACTGAGGCCGTGACACCGTGCCCAGCCCGATATCCTCATTTGATAGGAGGGTGCTAAGGTCCAGAGAGGGAAGTGCCTTACCAAAGGCTGTCTAGTAAGTTCTCAGCAGAGCTTCGACTAAAAGCAAGGCTCTTTCCCTGGGCATCCAGGTTCCTTTGAGCAGGTGTCGTGGATTCTTTACTGCCAGAGGACACAGCTCTTTCCTTGGAAAAGTCTAAACCGTTCCCTCCATCATGAGGTGGACACTGCTTCTGGCAACTGTGTTTTGGCATCCAGCAGGTGTAACCCTGCTAGCCTAAGATGGCTAGAGGCTATAGAGGGGAGGTTTCCTGGTTAGTAAAGCCAGGCTTTGGAGAGCAGCTGCTTGAATCCCTGTGGGTCTCTGACAGCTCAGGCCCCAACCACTGCCCACTCTGGGCCCGTTTTCCCTGACCCCAAGACCCCAGGGTTGGCTTATGTCACGGCTTCTGCCCAAGTTAGGACTTAGGTCCTCCGTCCTCTGGGCACCCAGCAAAGGCTCACACACTCCTCCTGTCTTGCAGAGCCCCAGTACTTTCGTTTTGAAGGTGTGTGGCTGACAGAAACTGGCATGGCTGTGCTGCGCAACCTGACCATGTCACCCCTGCACAAGCGGCGCCAGCGGCGAGGACGGCTTGGGCTCCCAGGCGAGGTGGGGCTGGAGGGTTCTGAACCTTCAGATACCCTTGGCCCCGATGACAAGAAGGATGGGGACCTGGATGCCGAAGAGCTGCTCAAGGGTGAAGGTTGGGCTGGGGACTTGGGAGTGCCTATGAGGGTTGGCACCCTGGGTGGGGCCTACTGAGCCGATGACATGGGTACAAGGGCGCATGCCTCTGAACTGCCCGTCTCTTCTGTCACACAGGTGGTGTGGAGCACATGGAATGTGAAATTAAAATGGAGGGCCCCACCAGTCCGGATGCGGAACCTGGCAAAGAGGAGACTGAGGAAAGCAAAAAACGCAAGCGCAAGCCTTACCGACCTGGTGAGACCCCGGGTGGCCAGCGGAGCAGCAGGGGCACTCGCTGGGAGCCCGGTGCTGCTCACGCCTCAGCTCTTGTCTCCTGACAGGCATTGGTGGCTTCATGGTGCGGCAGAGGAAATCCCACACTCGTGTGAAGAAGGGGCCTGCTGCCCAGTCGGAGGTGTTGAGTGGGGATGGGCAGCCTGACGAGGGTGAGACAGGTGAGGGCACCACCACTGGGACCTGGGTGAAGGTGAGGATCCTGGTACCACAGGACAAAGCCAAAAGGCCTGGAGGAGGTCACTGGAAGAGCCAGAAGGGTGTGGTGGGCCCAGGCCCAGCTGCAGCTTGTGTTAGGCACTGTGTCCCTGGTGCATCTGGAGAGCCTGACGCTGCCGGTTCTGTCCACAGTGATGCCTGTGGACCTGCCTGCAGAGGGCTCCGGGGAACAGGGCTCAGCTGATGCCGATGAGAAGAAGAAGCAGCAGCGGAGAGGGCGCAAGAAGAGCAAGCTGGAGGACATGTTCCCTGCTTACCTGCAGGTGGGTCTCGGCCTGCTTAGGCGGGGCGGGGCTGGCTGTGCCTTGCAGGGCCAACAACAGCCTATTTCTCTCTGACTCTCCCAACAGGAGGCCTTCTTTGGCAAAGAGCTGCTGGACCTGAGCCGAAAGGCCCTTTTTGCAGTTGGGATGGGCCGACCAGGCTTTGGACTAGGAACCCCCAAAGGCAAGGGTGATGGAGGTTCAGACAGGAAGGAACCTTCCGCCTCACAGAAAGGTTGGTTGTGTGGGAGTGCAGTTGACCCCCTCTGGCTCCTGGAGTGAGGAATAGCCTATGGGGCTGGGGACTGGGTGTGGCTTCAGGTGTGGACGATCTCTGTTCCTTCTAGGGGATGATGGTCCAGATGTTGCAGATGAGGAGTCCCATGGTCCTGAGGGCAAGGCTGATACACCAGGTGAAGGCTTCTGTGGGTCATGTTCCACTGGGCTTTACCTTTGTCAGTCTGAGTTGGGAGCTGAAAGTGATTTATCCCCCTCTGGTTCCCGGTGACCAGTGTGGTGCCTGCACACAGGCTTTGACTCACGGGTTTTTCCTGGCAACTACAGGCCCTGAGGATGGTGGTGTAAAGGCATCCCCAGTGCCCAGTGACCCCGAGAAGCCGAGCACTCCAGGTGAAGGGATGCTTAGCTCCGACTTAGACCGGATTCCCACGGAAGGTGAGGCAGTGACCCGTATCTCCTCTCCTGTAGTGTCCTCAGTTGGTGAGAGGGTCTTGTTGATTGGACTGTGATCTGGGTAGCTTCTCTGGGCACCCTTCCTGGCCATGCCGTAAATGGGCCTAGGTTGGCAGCTGAACGTGCCTGTCTTCTGTAGTGCACTTTATCATTCTCCCACAGAACTGCCCAAGATGGAATCCAAGGACCTGCAGCAGCTCTTCAAGGATGTCCTGGGTTCAGAACGAGAACAACATCTGGGCTGTGGGACCCCTGGCCTGGAAGGCAACCGCACGCCGCTGCAGAGGCCCGTTGTCCACGGTGACACAGGTGGGAACATTTGAACCCTGGACTGGCCAAGGCTGCCCCCAGGCTGGGGGCTGATCCTGGTTTTCACTGATCCTGGTTCTCTCGTAGGCGGACTCCCTTTGGGCAGTCTTCCTTCCAGCAGCCCATTGGACTCCTACCCAGGCCTCTGCCAGTCCCCATTCCTGGATTCCAGGTTGGTACCTAAGCTGAATTCTCATGGGCAGTCCCTTTGCCCTTTTTCTCCACCTGTGCCCTTGTTCTGCCTCCCTTGTTTGTGCTGGGGCAGGGAGCGGGTGGGGCTTGGCACTTCTGCCTCCTGTGACTCTCTGCCCCTGCGCCCCAGGGAGCGCGGGGGCTTTTTCAGCCCAGAACCCGGTGAGCCAGACAGCCCCTGGACAGGCTCAGGGGGCACCACGCCCTCCACCCCCACAACCCCCACCACGGAGGGTGAGGGCGACGGGCTGTCCTATAACCAGCGGAGTCTGCAGCGCTGGGAGAAGGATGAGGAGTTGGGCCAGCTCTCCACCATCTCCCCTGTGCTCTATGCCAACATTAACTTTCCCAACCTCAAGCAAGATTACCCAGGTACCTGTGGGACAAGGGCAGGAGGACAGCCTAGCAGCATGATGGCCTTTGAGGCTGGGGTCACCTGCCGAGTCTCCCTCCATCCTTCTCCTCTGCAGACTGGTCCAGCCGTTGCAAACAAATCATGAAGCTCTGGAGAAAGGTCCCAGCCGCTGACAAAGCCCCCTACCTGGTGAGACAGAAGGGAGTGTGGGCTGGGTTGGCGTGTGAGTTGATGGAGGGGGCCGTCTTGGAGAATTTACCTCAGCTTTCTGCACCATCACCCCTAAAGCATCTGGGCTGGAAGGGACCAGCACCTGTGGGGAGTGTGAATGAAGTGTGCGCTGGGGGCAGCTGGGAGGCTGAGCGTTGGGCCCTATGTGTGTCCTGTATCCCTCAGCAAAAGGCCAAAGATAACCGGGCAGCTCACCGCATCAACAAGGTGCAGAAGGTGAGTGGGGGCCGGGCTGGGCTATACTGTGGAAGTCTCCGGGGGGGGGACACATGGGGCTTGCTGCAGAAGCCTGACTGCTATGTTCCTGTGTGCCCTGCAGCAGGCTGAGAGCCAGATCAACAGGCAGCCCAAGGTGGGCGACACAGCCCGGAAGACTGAGCGACCGGCCCTGCATCTTCGCATTCCCCCTCAGCAGGGGGCACTGGGCAGCCCACCCCCTGCTGCCGCCCCCACCGTTTTCCTTGGCAGCCCCACTCCCCCCGCCGGCATGTCTACCTCTGCGGACGGGTTCCTGAAGCCGCCAGCAGGCACCGTGCCTGGCCCCGACTCGCCCGGTGAGCTCTTCCCCAAGCTCCCGCCCCAGGTGCCCGCCCAAGTGCCTTCGCAGGACCCCTTTGGACTGGCCCCTGCCTATGCCCTGGAGCCCCGCTTCCCCGTGGCACCACCCAACTACCCCACTTATCCTAATGTAGCTGGGGCCCCTGCGCAGTCCCCAGTGCCAGGTGCCTCCACTCGTCCTGGGCCTGGCCTGCCAGGGGAATTCCACGTTACCCCACCTGGCACCCCCCGGCACCAGCCCTCTACACCCGACCCCTTTCTCAAACCCCGCTGCCCCTCATTGGACAACCTGGCTGTGCCTGAGAGCCCCGGGGTAGGGGGAGGCAAGGCTTCCGAGCCCCTGCTCTCACCCCCACCACTTGGGGAGGCCCGTAAGGCCCTGGAGGTGAAGAAGGAAGAGCTTGGGGCATCCTCCCCTAGCTATGGGCCCCCAAACCTGGGTTTTGTTGACCCATCCTCCTCAGGCCCCCACCTTGGTGGGCTGGAGTTAAAGGCACCTGATGTCTTCAAAGCCCCACTGACCCCTCGGGCATCTCAGGTAGAGCCCCAGAGCCCGGGCTTGGGTCTACGGCCCCAGGAGCCGCCCCTTGCCCAAGCTTTGGCTCCTTCTCCCCCAAGCCACCCAGACATCTTTCGTCCCAGCCCTTACCCTGACCCCTATGCCCAGCCCCCACTGACCCCTCGGCCCCAGCCCCCAGCCCCTGAGAGCTGTTGCGCCCTGCCCCCTCGCTCACTGCCCTCTGACCCTTTTTCCCGAGTACCTGCCAGCCCTCAGTCCCAGTCCAGCTCCCAGTCACCATTGACACCCCGTCCTCTGTCTGCTGAGGCTTTTTGCCCGTCTCCTGTCACCCCTCGCTTCCAGTCCCCTGACCCTTACTCCCGCCCACCCTCACGCCCTCAGTCCCGTGACCCATTTGCCCCATTGCATAAGCCACCCCGTCCCCAGCCCTCTGAAGTTGCCTTTAAGGCTGGGTCTCTAGCCCACACTCCCCTGGGGGCTGGGGGCTTCCCAGCAGCCCTGCCCTCGGGGCCAGCCGCTGAGCTCCATGCCAAGGTCCCAAGTGGGCAGCCCCCCAATTTTGCCCGTTCCCCAGGGACAGGCGCATTTGTGAGCACCCCATCTCCCATGCGTTTCACTTTCCCTCAGGCAGCCGGGGAGCCTCCCCTAAAGCCCCCTGTCCCTCAGCCTGGTCTCCCTCCACCCCATGGGATCAACAGCCATTTTGGGCCCGGCCCCACTTTGGGCAAGCCTCAAAGCACAAACTACGCAGTAGCTGCGGGGAACTTTCACCCATCGGGCAGCCCCCTGGGGCCTGGCAGCGGGTCCACAGTGGAGGGCTATGGGCTGTCCCCGCTACGCCCCACGTCAGTTCTGCCACCACCTGCACCCGACGGATCCCTCCCCTACCTGTCCCACGGAGCCTCACAGCGGGCAAGCATCACCTCTCCAGTCGAAAAGCGAGAAGAGTCAGGGGCTGGAATGAGTAGCTCTTTGGTGGCACCTGAACTCCCAGGTACCCAAGACCCTGGCATGTCCAGCCTTAGCCAGACAGAGCTGGAGAAGCAGCGACAGGTGAGTTGACACCCAGTAGCTGAGTGTCCCCTCTCTCCTCCCCCTTCCATCTGCTGTCCCTGAGCCGTTCCTGTGATTGGGGGTTGAATGGGGCTGCTCGTTCATCTTGTGCACAGCGCCAGCGACTCCGTGAGCTGCTGATCCGCCAGCAGATCCAGCGTCACAGCCTGCGGCAGGAGAAGGAGACAGCTGCGGCAGCTGGAGGAGCAGCGGGGCCCCCAGGCAGCTGGGGCGCAGAACCCAGCAGCCCTGCCTTTGAGCAGCTGAGCCGAGGCCAGGCGCCCTTTGCTGGGACTCAGGTAGGGAGAGTGGCAAGGGGAGGTAGAACTGGGTTGATGAAGGTGGCCTTACCTCATCTACGTCTCTTCTAGGATAAGGGCAGTCTCGTGGGATTGCCCCCAGGCAAGCTGGGGGGCTCTGTCCTGGGACCAGGGCCCTTCCCCAGTGATGATCGACTATCTCGGCCACCTCCACCAGCCACGCCTTCCTCTGTGGACGTGAACGGCCGGTAGGCTGCGGGAGGCTTCCTGGGGGTAAACCACAGGGGCAGATTTGTAGTGCTGCTGTCGGATGCCTCCGCTTCCCCATGTGGTTCGTGTTTCTGGAGTGTCACTAGCCTTCTTCCCTCTGTTCTCAGTGCCCTGAGCCCAGGCTCCAGCCTTTTCCCTCCTGATTGCCTCTTACTGACTACTGCATATTCTTCCAGGCAATTGGTAGGAGGCTCCCAGGCCTTCTATCAGCGAGCGCCCTATCCTGGCTCCCTGCCCTTGCAGCAGCAACAGCTGTGGCAGCAGCAACAGCAGCAACAGCAACAGCAGGCGACGTCAGCTGCCTCCATGCGACTTGCCATGTCGACTCGCTTTCCATCAACTCCTGGCCCTGAGCTTAGCCGCCAAGCCCTGGGGTCCTCCTTGCCGGGAATTCCCACTCGCTTGCCAGGCCCTGGTGAGCCAGTGCCTGGCCCAGCTGGTCCTGCTCAGTTCATTGAGTTGAGGCACAATGTACAGAAAGGACTAGGACCTGGAGGGGCTCCATTTCCTGGTCAGGGCCCCCCTCAGAGACCTCGGTTTTACCCTGTGACTGAAGACCCCCATCGACTGGCTCCCGAAGGGCTGCGGGGCCTGGTGCTGTCAGGCCTTCCTTCACAGAAACCATCAGCTCCACCTGCCCCTGAGCTGAGCAACAACCTCCATGCCCCGCCCCTCACCAAGGCTTCCACCTTGCCTGCTGGCCTGGAGCTGGTCAGCCGGCCACCCTCCAGCACTGAGCTCAGCCGGCCACCACCTCTGGCTCTGGATACAGGGAAGCTGCCCTGTGAGGACCCTGAGCTGGATGATGACTTTGATGCCCACAAGGCCCTGGAGGACGATGAAGAACTTGCTCACCTGGGGCTGGGTGTGGATGTGGCCAAGGGTGATGATGAGCTGGGCACCCTGGAAAACCTGGAGACCAACGACCCCCACCTGGATGACCTGCTCAACGGAGATGAGTTTGATCTTCTGGCCTACACTGACCCCGAGCTGGACACTGGGGACAAGAAGGACATCTTCAACGAGCACCTGAGGCTGGTGGAGTCGGCTAATGAGAAAGCCGAGCGGGAGGCCCTGCTGCGGGGGGTGGAGCCAGGACCCTCGGTCTCTGAGGAGCGCCCACCCCCTGTTGCTGATGCCTCTGAACCCCGCCTGGCAGAGGTGAAGCCCAAGGTGGAGGAGGGTGGACGTCACCCTTCCCCTTGCCAGTTCACCATCAACACCCCAAAGGTAGAACCAGCACCTGCTACCACTTCCCTTGGCCTGGGCCTGAAGCCAGGACAAAACATGATGGGCAGCCGAGAGACCCGGATGGGCACAGGGCCATTTTCCAGCAGTGGGCACACAGCAGAGAAGGGCCCCTTTGGGACCACAGGGGGACCACCAGCTCATCTGCTAGCCCCCAGCCCACTAAGCGGCTCAGCGGGATCTTCCCTGCTGGAAAAGTTTGAGCTTGAGAGTGGGTCCCTGAGCTTGCCTGGTGGCCCTGCAGCATCTGGGGACGAGCTGGACAAGATGGAGAGCTCCCTGGTAGCCAGTGATCTGCCCCTGCTCATCGAGGACCTGTTGGAACATGAGAAGAAGGAGCTGCAGCAGCGGCAGCAGCTCTCAGCACAGCTGCAGCCAGCGCAGCAGCAGCAGCAGCAGCAGCAGCAGCAGCTGATACTGTCTGCAACAGGCCCTGCCCAGGCCATGGCTCTGCCACATGAAGGCTCTTCTCCAAGTTTGTCTGGACCTCAACAGCAGCTTGCATTGGGTATTGGAGGGGCCCGGCAGCCAGGCTTGGGCCAACCACTGATGCCTACCCAGCCACCGGCTCATGCCCTTCAGCAGCGCTTGGCCCCATCCATGGCCATGATGTCCAACCAAGGGCATATGCTAAGCGGGCAGCATGGGGGACAGGCAGGCTTGGTGCCCCAGCAGAGCCCACAGCCAGTGCTACCACAGAAGCCCATGGGTACCATGCCGCCTTCCATGTGCATGAAGCCTCAGCAGTTGGCAATGCAACAGCAGTTGGCTAACAGCTTCTTCCCAGACACAGGTAACCCCAGCAGGTGGCGTGATTGATTCCTCAGGGTTGTTGTCACCAGCAGATGTGCGCTTTGAGGCCAGACACTAAGATAATCCCTAGCTAAGAGGTGGGTCACAAAGGGCTTTGACTAAATATTAGACTAGGCATAGGTGAAAACACTGCATGTTTTCAAATTTTAATTTATTTTTTAAAAAGGTTTAATTATTTTTACTGGAAAGTCAGAGAGGAGGACAGACAGGAAGAGCTTCTGTCCACTGATTCACTCCCCAAGGGGCCACAATGGCCGGAGCTCAGCTGATCTGAAACCAGGAGGCAGAAGCCTCTTCCAGGTCTCCCACACAGGAGCAGGATCCCAGGGCTTTGGGCCTTCCTCGGCTGCTTTCCTAGGCCACAAGCAGGGTGCTGCATGGGAAGCAGGGCCGCTGGGATTAGAACTGGCACCCATATGGGATCCTGGCACGTGCAAGGCGAGGACTTTAGCTGCTCGGCTACCATACCAGGTTCTAATTTTATTTTTTAATGTTTGCATAGTTGTGATGGATGTACGCCCATGTGAGTCTCATTCCAATTTTAGTATATGTGCTGTACTCCATGTGTATTTAGCACCCCATGTGAGTCTCAATAAGGGTGAGGAGGGTCAAGGTATGGAGGAAGGTGGGTGGTACAAGTGTTTCAGTAATGTTTTTTTCTCCTGTGTCTACAGGTGGGGAAAGGGGATGGGGCCCCACTCCTTACTGTCAGAAGATACAACACCCAGGGATGTGGGACAGTCCACTCCAACATATCTCCTCTTGGTCAATCTAGAATCCCACCAACTTGGGTGGCATGTCTTGGCCCAGCGTTCCCTGCCTTCCCCATATAGCTTTAAAAAATAAATAAGATAGGCAACTGTGGTGGTGCCCTGTGTAGTTAACACAGGCGTGGCATGAACAAGGTCCAGAGGGCCAGCCAGCTATGCTGCTTTTCTCCCAGCAGTGTAACACTTGCCTAGTACAAGGCAACCTAGGCAGTTGCCTGTAGCTGGGGCACACTGCAGCTGATAAGGCGTTGTAAGGAGGGAGCAGCTTCGGGTATGTGGCGGGTATTGTCCAAGTGGAAGCAAGTCGTGGAAAAACCTGTCGGCAAAGGCTTTGTGGCTGTGGTCGGGCGGGAAGTTGAGGACTTGCAAGCGAGGCAAGAGGCAGCAGTCAGGACAGATGAGAGACTGAAGGGAATGATAGTCCAGGAAAACTGTTGGGCTGCTTTGAGGAGCAGTGTGAGTGATGCAGGAGGCAGCTAGCTAATTGCTGTGGTTCTGGAGAGCTCCGAGCGGGATGGAAGGCACAGTCCTCCTCCCGTCCACCTCCCTGCCGATGTGCCTATGAGAGCAGCTGAGCAGCAAACGGAGTTCTAGGATCTTGGCTTGGACCTGGCCAAGCTTTGGCTGGCCGTAGTGGCCTTTTGGGGGACAAGTAGTGGGTGGGAGGGAGGTCTCTCTGTCATTTTGCATTTCAGACAAAACAAATTCTTAAAGGGGTGGTGGGATGGACAGGTTGAAGGAGACCTTAAGCTACGTAGCATTTATTAACTGATACTTGCCAAGCAGTACGCTGAGGGTTAATGGTCACAACGGACTCCCTAAATAGACGTTTCGCTACTCCATTATAAGAGGAAGCAACAGTGGAGGCCAGGCAGCTCATTCCTTCAAGGAGGCACAGCAGCTGGCAGAGCTGGATCTGAATGCTGTTACTCCATAGTTTTGCAGGAGAGCGTGGGGGCGGGATGGGGCAGTTACATTTTTTGAGCTGTGGAGAGATAACATGAAGTACAGGATTTCAGAAATATAACGAGTTTTTGGTGATTGCTTCTTTTTTTATTAAGTATCAGGGACCGACACAGGACTAAGGTATAGGTGAGAGTGTGATGTATCCAGGACAGCTGTGACATCTAAGTCTTTGTCACTGTGTATTGCTATTGGGCTCTGTATGGTCTTAAGATTTGTTTTTGGTTTTGTTTTGTTTTTTTTTTTTAATTGATTTTAAAGGAGGAGGGCACTCTTCCTTGTCTGTTGTTTTATTTCCCAAATGTCTGAAAGAACCAGGCTAAATCGGGATGGTGACCATGAGGGTGGCAGGTCCTGGAATAGGGATGGAGAAGTTGGGACTGGAGTGGCATCATTAGCTGTGGCTTAGCGTGCTGTGCCACACCAGCCACTACATCTTGGGTTTGGCTTTGTTGCTTATACTAGGAACACTTCTTGGGGAATACTTCCAGGTCCTTAAGGATGCTCACACTCTGTCACCTCTGGTCCTTTCATTAGCTCCCTGAAACTAGTAGGACATCCGCAGCTCTCTCGGAGGAGTGAACTGAGGCTTGAAGAAGTGCGATAACTTTTATAGTTGGATTCAACAGATATTTACCGAGTCCCCTTTGCAAGCATGTGCAAGTCGAAACGGGCTCATATGGCTTATGAATAACAGCAGAGTTAGCCAGTCCTCCTCCTGCTGTGCCGTTACTCGGCTTGTCTGGGTGAAGGTCAGGTTGTTGGAAGGAATGACAAATGTCTAAGGGGTCTTTTCATTGTCAATTATGAAAAATCTATGTGGTTTTTAAAAATTTTTTTTAATGTTATTGGAAGGGCAGATTTACAGAGGAGAGACAGATCTTTTATCTGCAGGTTTAGTTCCCAAATGGCCACAGTGGCCAGTGCTGGGCTAACCAAGGAGCCAGGAGCTTCTTTCTGTCTCCCACGCAGGTACAGGGTCCCAAGGCATTGGGCTCTCCTCCGCTGCTTTCCCAGCTCACAGATGAAGCTGGAGAGGAAGTGGAGCAACTGGGACATGAGCTGGTACCCCTGTGGGGTGCTACACCTGGAGGTAGAAGATTAGCTGGTTGAGCCAAAGTGCCAGACCCTAATCTATGTGGATTTGTAAGATGTGTACATTAAAACAAGTTTGCCTTTTAATCCCATTTTTTCATAAATTTCTAAAAATATGTAATTTGAAACTTTGTCCATTTGTTCATTTGAAAAATCAAAGAGAAAGAGGGTCAGACAGATTTTTCTCCTGCTGATTAACTCTCTAAATGTGCGCAGTAGCTAAAGCTGGGCCAGGCTGAAGGCAGGAGCCCAAAACTTAGCTTGGGGTCCCCTGTGGATTGCAGGGACTGAGCTGCTTGAGTCTTCAAATGCCATCGTTCAGCATCTGCATTAGCAGGAAACTGGAGTTAGAGATGGAACTGGGGGTTGAGTGCAGGCACTTCAGTGTAGGGAATGGCATCACAGCTAGAGCTTAAGCCTAGGGCCTTGCCCCTGCCCCTGCTTTCCTTAAAGTTTTTCAAGTTCTTTCATACAATGGAGCACTGGCCCTTAAAGTATACCTCATTTTGCTCTTCTGCAGACCTGGATAAATTTGCTGCTGAAGATATCATTGATCCTATTGCAAAGGCCAAGATGGTGGCTTTGAAAGGCATTAAGAAAGTGATGGCGCAGGGCAGCATTGGGGTGGCACCTGGTATGAACAGGTGAGACTCGACTTGGGTGGGCTGAAGTTGGCTTCTTTTCCTCAATTACAGCTGTTCTCTTCTGAGTATTCCTTCCCTATTGTCATACTTCTTTGCCTTCCAATTTTCCCGTTGCCAACACTTACCCTATGTGCTTTGGTGGACTCCAGGCAGCAAGTGTCCCTGCTAGCCCAGAGGCTCTCAGGGGGACCTGGCAGTGATCTGCAAAACCACGTGGTACCAGGGAGTGGACAGGTGGGTAAAGGATTTTGCTTGCAGAACCACTGGGATCCTGTTAGTTCCTGGCATGGGACAGTGAGCCTTCAGCAGTTTCTGTTGTCGCAGGAGCGGAATGCCGGGGATCCCTCCCAGTCTCGTCCCAACCCACCCACTTTTGCACAGGGAGTGATCAGTGAGTATAGGGCATGGGAGGAGGGTGCAGGGACATGGTTTAGGACTGATGGAGGAAAGGGGATTGGGTTATTGCCTGGCAGGACATGACCCTTGTCTCTTCTCCCAGACGAGGCCGACCAGCGGCAGTATGAAGAGTGGCTGTTCCATACCCAGCAGCTCCTACAGATGCAGCTGAAGGTGCTTGAGGAACAGATTGGTGTGCACCGCAAGTCCCGGAAGGCCCTGTGCGCCAAGCAGCGAACTGCCAAAAAGGCTGGCCGTGAGTTCCCGGAAGCTGATGCTGAAAAGCTCAAGTTGGTTACAGAGCAGCAGAGCAAGATCCAGAAACAGCTGGATCAGGTGAGAAATGAACCTGGCGTTCAGAAGCCAGGAAACAGGGCTGTCTTGGGAGGGCAGGCTCCAGGCTGACCTCTCTGACCTTCCTGTGTTAGGTCCGTAAACAGCAGAAAGAACACACTAATCTCATGGCAGAGTATCGGAATAAGCAGCAGCAGCAGCAGCAACAGCAGCAGCAACAACAACAACAACACTCGGCTGTACTGACTCTTAGTCCCTCCCAGAGTCCCCGGCTACTCACAAAGCTCCCGGGCCAGCTACTCCCTGGCCATGGGCTGCAGCCACTACAGGGACCCCCTGGTGGGCAAGCTGGAGGTCTTCGCATGCCCCCTGGGGCTATGGCGCTACCTGGACAACCTGGTGGTCCCTTCCTCAACTCATCCATGGCTCAACAACAGCATTCTGGAGGGGCTGGATCCCTGACTGGCCCATCAGGGGGCTTTTTCCCTGGCAACCTTACTCTTCGAAACATTGCACCTGACTCAAGACTTCTACAGGAGAGGCAACTGCAGCTGCAACAGCAGCGCATGCAGCTTGCCCAGAAACTGCAGCAGCAGCAGCACCTCCTGGGACAGGTGGCAATCCAGCAGCAACAGCAGCAGGGTTCTGGCGTGCAAGCAAACCAAGCTTTGGGTCCCAAACCCCAGGGACTTCTGCCCCCCAGCAACCACCAAGGTCTCCTGGTCCAGCAGCTCTCCCCTCAGCCACCGCAGGGGCCTCAGGGCATGCTGGGCCCTGCCCAGGTGGCAGTGCTGCAGCAGCAGCAGCATCCTGGAGCTTTGGGTCCACAGGGCCCCCACAGACAGGTGCTTATGACCCAAAGTCGGGTGCTGACGTCCCCCCAGCTGGCTCAGCAGGGTCAGGGCCTTATGGGACAACGGCTGGTCACAGCCCAGCAGCAGCAGCAACAGCAGGGCTCCATGGCAGGGCTTTCCCATATTCAGCAGGGGCTGATGTCCCACAGTGGGCAGCCTAAACTGAATGCCCAGTCCATGAGTTCCTTGCAGCCACAGCAGCAGCAGCAACAGCAGCTACAGCAGCAGCAGCAACAGCAGCTACAGCAACAGCAGCTACAGCAGCAGCAACATCAGCAACTACAGCAACAGCAGCTACAGCAGCAGCAGCAACAGCAGCAGCTACAGCAACAGCAATTTCAGCAGCAGCAGCAACAGCAGCAGATGGGCCTTTTGAACCAGAGTCGAACTTTACTGTCTCCTCAGCAGCAGCAGCAGCAGCAGGTGACCCTTGGCCCCGGCATGCCAGCCAAGCCTCTTCAACACTTTTCTAGCCCCGGAGCCCTGGGCCCAACCCTCCTTTTGCCGGGCAAGGAACAAAACATTGTAGAGACGGCTCTTCCTTCAGAGGTCGCTGAGGGGGCCTCAGTCCATCAGGGAGGAGGGCCTCTAGGAGTAGGGACTACACCTGAGCCCATGGCTGTTGAACCAGGGGAGGTAAAACCTTCGCTCTCTGGGGACTCACCACTCCTGCTTGTCCAACCCCAAGCCCAGCCTCAGCCTCAGCCTCAGCCTCAGCCTCAGCCTCAGCCTGGCTCTCTGCAGCTACAGCCACCTCTGAGGCTCCCAGGACAACAGCAGCAACAGCAAGTTAACTTGCTTCACTCAGCAGGCATGGGAAGCCATGGGCAGCTAGGCGGCGGATCGTCTGAGGCCTCAGCTGTGCCCCAGCTCCTGGTCCAACCCTCTGTTTCCGTAGGGGACCAGCCCGGACCCGTGACCCAGAACCTTCTTGGCCCCCAGCCTTCCCTTGGGCTAGAACAGCCCCTGCAGAATAATACAGGGCCACAGCTTCCCAAACCAGGACCTGCTCCCCAGACTGGGCAGGGTCTGCCTGGGGTTGGAGTCATGCCTGCAGTGGGTCAGCTTCGAGCACAGCTTCAAGGAGTCCTGGCCAAAAACCCGCAGCTGCGGCACTTGAGTCCTCAGCAGCAGCAGCAGCTGCAGGCCCTTCTTGTGCAGCGGCAACTGCAGCAGAGTCAGGCCGTACGCCAGACTCCACCTTTCCAGGAGCCTGGGACGCAGCCCTCTCCTCTGCAGGGCCTGCTGGGCTGCCAGCCACAACCTGGGGGTTTCCCTGGGCCCCAGCTAGGCCCTCCCCAGGAGCTGGGGGCAGGGCCTCGACCTCAGGGCCCACCCCGGCCCCCTGTCCCACAAGGAGCCTCACCCGCAGGACCAGCACTTGGACCTGTCCACCCCACGCCTCCGCCATCCAGCCCCCAAGAGCCAAAGAGACCTTCTTCACAGTTACCTTCCCCCAATGCCCAGCTTCCCTCCGCCCATCCAGGGACTCCAAAGCCTCTTGGGAGGGTCTCACCTGCTTCTGCCCAGCACACAGATACCTTCTTTGGCAAAGGGCTGGGACCTTGGGACCCCCCAGACAACTTAGCAGAAACCCAGAAGCCAGAGCAGAGCAACCTGGTAGCTGGGCATCTGGAGCAAGTGAATGGACAGGTGGTGCCTGAACCACCCCAACTCAGCATCAAACAGGAGCCTCGGGAAGAGCCATGTGCCCTGGGAGCCCAAGCGGTGAAGAGGGAGGCCAATGGGGAGCCAGTAGGGACAGCAGGTACCAGCAACCACCTCCTGCTGGCAGGCCCCCGCTCAGAGGCTGGGCATCTGCTCTTGCAGAAGCTTCTACGAGCAAAGAATGTGCAACTCAACGCTGGGCGGGGGCCTGAGGGGCTGCGAACTGAGATCAACGGGCACATTGACAGCAAGCTGGCTGGGCTGGAGCAGAAACTGCAGGGTACCCCCATCAACAAGGAGGTGAGTAGTTGGAGGTAGAGATGGGACAGATGGGGACTCTGAGGAGCAGCGCAGCTGCCCTCACTGAGCTTGTCTGGCTTAGGATGCGGCAGCAAGGAAACCTTTGACATCAAAGCCCAAGCGGGTCCAGAAGGCAGGCGACAGGTTGGTGAGCTCCAGAAAAAAGCTCCGGAAGGAGGACGGGCTGAGGGCCAGCGAAGCCTTGCTGAAGCAACTGAAGCAGGTGATCCCTGGGAGCGAGTTCCCTGGTCCCATCCCAGCCTAGAGGCCGCTGGCCCCAGCTGTGCAGTGACAGTGCAGTGAATGCTGCTAGTTTCCAACTTTGTCATCTTTCCTCTCCCAGGAGCTGTCTCTGCTGCCCCTGACGGAGCCTACTATCACCGCCAACTTCAGCCTCCTGGCTCCCTTTGGCAGTGGTTGCCCAGTCAGTGGGCACAACCAGCTAAGAGGGGCCTTTGGAAGTGGGACGCTAACCACTGGCGCTGACTACTATTCTCAGCTGCTGACCAAGGTGAGGAAAACAGCATTGGCTCCTTGGGACCAGTGAAGCTGTGGGAGAAGAGGGGGCGGAGAGGGAAGACTGGAGGAGATGGCTGGTGTGGCGTGGGCCAGGGCATCATGTCAGTCTCCCTGTGCCATCTTGCACACACCACCCCACCCCACCCTCAGAATAACCTGAGTAACCCGCCGACACCACCCTCGTCGCTGCCCCCCACCCCACCCCCATCGGTGCAGCAGAAGATGGTGAATGGTGTCACTGCGTCTGAGGAACTGGGGGAGAACCCCAAGGATGCCACGTCTGCCCGGGACACAGAAGGCACGCTGCGGGGTGAGTGAGGAGCAGCTTTGTCCCTTTTTAAGGGGGCTCCCCTACCATGTAATCCAAGGAATGAGGAGGTTGTATGCAGTCTTGAGAACTTTCGAGGACTGTTGAGCTGAGGGTAAGGGTGGGCTTCTGGAGCCAAGGTTCTAGGGAAGGAGTGTGGGGGGTTATGCTGAATCTGTATCGCATGGAGCAAGCATCGTACCAGGATCTGGGTGGCTGCGTCGATTTACCTGTGTTACTGTGACTGAATTGGGTGAGCCTCGGCTTCTTGCCTGTGGGATGGGAACCGCTAAGTGACAAAGAATGTGTGTAGTGCCCTTGGAAATGGCTTGTTAGAGCACAGCTTTTCTGCGCCAGAGCGGTAGGAACATGAGTGGTTGGCAGTCGTCGCTGGGAGCTTAGCTTGGCTGAGTGTAGCCTGAAATCTGGGGTGCTGGGGCAGGCTGGGAGTGAGAGGCACCATCAACTTTGGCTACCTGCATCCCATCTCCTCCTCCCTGCTCTCAGATGCTTCCGAGGTGAAGAGTCTTGACCTGCTGGCTGCCTTGCCCACGCCCCCTCACAACCAGACCGAGGATGTCAGGTAGGCTGGGCACAGGTCCCTCGGTCGACTTGTAGCAGGTGGAAAATTTCTCGTAAGGATAGGATGTCCACTGGGACGCAGCAGGTGACAGGGCTGTAGCCACAAATGTCCCTCTTGGCTCTTAGGATGGAGAGCGATGAGGACAGTGACTCTCCTGACAGCATCGTGCCAGCTTCATCCCCCGAGAGCATCCTGGGAGAGGAGGCCCCTCGTTACCCTCAGCTGGGCTCTGGCCGGTGGGAACAGGATGATCGGGCCCTGTCCCCTGTCATACCCATCATCCCTCGGGCCAATATCCCAGGTGTGTGCTACCCTGGGCCTGGGATAAGCGGTCCCAGCTGGGTTGTCAGGTGGGGAGGAGGTAGGCCCCTTCCTACCTGAGTCCCTCTGTCCCTTTAGTCTTCTCAGATGCCAAGCCGTATGTGGCCCTTGACCTGGACGTCTCAGGAAAGCTGCCTGCTGTGGCTTGGGAAAAAGGCAAAGGAAGTGAGGTGTCTGTCATGCTGACAGTGTCTGCTGCCGCAGCCAAGGTGTGTCTCTGGGGGGACCTTCAAGCCAAGGGGACCGTCATGATGGGGCAGTAGACCTGGGGCTTGTCTGAATGATAAGGAGAGCTGTTTGTAGAGTCCCTGCTGTGTAAAAGCCTAGAGGGGAGGCTGCGGGCCTGCGGGAACGAAGCGTGGCCCTGCCTTCCTCCCTGGGCTCTTGAGTTGGCTAATGTGCTAGGTGTCATTCTGGACTGTGACTACAGCAGACGTCACTTCTGAACCTGAGAACCCAGCCTTCTGCTGTTGGTGCTGCGGTCGGGAGAGTGGTGTCGGCATGGGGCGGGCTACCCCAGGACATGGGCTCCGGTGATTGTGTTCTCCCACAGTGGGTGGCAGTGCCCCCTCCAGACAGTGCTGACCTCTCTCCCTTCCCTGTCCTGGCAGAACCTGAATGGGGTGATGGTGGCGGTGGCAGAGCTGCTAAGCATGAAGATTCCCAACTCCTATGAGGTGCTGTTCCCAGAGAGCCCTGCTCGGATTGGCATGGTGCCCAAAAAGGGAGATGCTGAGGGTGCCGGTGAGTGTGGCAGGAAAGCCCTCTGGCGGCCTTTGGGGAATGGGTCTGGTGTGAGCCACTGACCTTTCTTCCTGCAGTAGGGAAAGAGAAGGGTCTGGGAGACAAGAACCCAGATGCTGGCCCCGAGTGGCTCAAGCAGTTTGATGCTGTGTTGCCCGGCTACACGCTTAAAAGCCAGCTGGACATCTTGAGCCTCCTGAAGCAGGTAGGTCTGGAGGGCAGGGTGTTAGGGAGAAGTTGTTGTCTGGGCCAGAAAAGGCTGAGGGCTCTGGGGAGAATGCAGCCCGGGTGCGAGGGGAGGGAAGAGGCTGGTCAGGGGAGGAACAGAGCTGACACTCACTGTCCAGGACACCCTCTCCTAGGAGAGCCCTGCCCCCGACCTGCCTACCCAGCACAGCTACACCTACAACGTCTCCAATCTGGACGTGCGACAGCTCTCAGCCCCGCCCCCTGAGGAGCCCTCCCCACCCCCATCCCCTTTGGCACCCTCTCCTGCCAGCCCCCCTGCCGAGCCCCTGGTTGAACTTCCATCTGAAATCTCAGCTGAGCCACCTGTCCCCTCCCCTCTGCCGCTGGCCTCATCCCCTGAATCTGCCCGGCCCAAACCCCGAGCCCGGCCCCCTGAGGAAGGTGAAGATTCCCGTCCCCCTCGTCTCAAGAAGTGGAAGGGGGTGCGCTGGAAGCGACTGCGGCTGCTGCTGACCATCCAGAAGACCAGCGGGCATCAGGAAGATGAGCGGGAAGTTGCAGAGTTCATGGAGCAGCTGGGCACAGCCTTGCGGCCTGACAAGGTGCCTCGGGATATGCGGCGCTGCTGCTTCTGTCACGAGGAGGGTGATGGGGCCACGGATGGGCCAGCCCGCCTGTTGAACTTGGACCTGGACCTCTGGGTGCACCTCAATTGTGCTCTCTGGTCCACGGAGGTATATGAGACCCAGGGTGGGGCGCTGATGAATGTGGAGGTTGCCCTCCACCGAGGCCTGCTCACCAAGTGCTCCCTGTGCCAGCGAACCGGTGCCACCAGCAGCTGCAACCGCATGCGTTGCCCCAATGTCTACCATTTTGCCTGTGCCATTCGCGCCAAGTGCATGTTCTTCAAGGACAAGACCATGCTGTGTCCAATGCATAAGGTCAAGGGCCCCTGTGAGCAGGAGCTGAGCTCGTTTGCGGTCTTCCGCCGGGTCTACATCGAGCGGGACGAGGTGAAGCAGATAGCCAGCATCATCCAGCGGGGGGAGCGGCTGCACATGTTCCGCGTCGGGGGCCTCGTGTTCCATGCCATTGGGCAGTTGCTCCCACACCAGATGGCTGATTTCCACAGTGCCACTGCCCTCTACCCGGTGGGCTACGAGGCCACGCGCATCTATTGGAGCCTTCGCACCAACAACCGGCGCTGCTGCTACCGCTGTTCCATCAGTGAGAACAATGGGCGGCCTGAGTTCATAATCAAAGTCATGGAGCAAGGCCTGGAGGATCTCATCTTCACTGACGCCTCTCCCCAGGGTGAGTGTACGCCCATGGGGCCCTGAGCTAGCGATGGCCTGGGCAGCAAGGGGACTCTGCAAGGCCCCATGGCAGGGGGCCTCTTCCCACCTTCAGCAGGCGGGGGTGTGTATTTCTTTTGGCTAGTCTCAGCGTAATTAAGAGGAAGCAGCGTGGAGATGCTTTGTCTGGTTCTTCTAACCTTGACCTTTTTTTTTTTTTTTTTTTGAGATTTGCTTATTTTTATTTGAAAGAGTTGCAAAGAAAGAGAGATTTTCTATCTGCTGGTTCACCCCACAGATGACCCCTCAAAGGCTAGAGCTGGGCTGGCCTGGAGCCAGGAGCCCTAAACTGCTTCTGGGCCTCCCATGTGGCAAGGGCCATCCTTGGGCCATCTTCCACTGCCCTCCCAGGCAGAGTTGGCTTGGAAATTGAATAGCTGGAACTTAAAGTGGTAGCCATATGGAATGCTGGCACTGTTAGGCAGAGGCTCTGTTATACCACTGGCCCCAGAGTTTCTTGTTTTATTGCTTTTGTTTTGTTTTTAGATCTATTCATTTTTATTGGAAAGTCAAATATACAGAGAGGAAGATCTTCCATGCGATGATTCACTCCCCAAGTGGCTGCAACAGCTAGAGCTGATCCAAAGCCAGGAACCTCTTCCAGGTCTCCCACACAGTTGCAGGGTCCCAAGTCTTTGGCCATCCTTGACTGCTTTCCTAGGCCACAAGCAAGGAGCTGGATGGGAAGTGGAGCTACCAGGATTAGAACCAGTGCCCATATGGGATTCTGGCACGTTCAAGGCGAGGACTTCAGCTGCTAGGTCACTGCACTGGACCCATTGTTGTTATTTTAAAAATAAGTATTATTGGGCCCGGTGCAGTAACCTAGTGGCTAAATCCTTACCTTGCCTGCACTGAGTTTATATATGGGTGCCAGTTCTAATCCCAGTGGCCCCCTTCCCATCCAGCTCCCTGCTTGTGGCCTGGGAAAGCAGTCGAGGACGGCCCAAAGTCTCAGGTCCCGCACCCACATGGGAGACCTGGAGGAAGCACCTGGCTTCTGGCTTCGGATCAGCTCAGCTGTAGCCGTTGCTGCCACTTGGGGAGTGAACCAGCGGATAGATCTCTCTCTCCTTCTCAGTGAATCTGCCTTTCCAGTAAAAATAAAATCTTTTTAAAAATGGAAAAAAAATGTTTATTATATGAAAGGCAGAGAGAAATTTTCCATGTGGTGGTTCATCTCCCATGTAGCTACAACATCTAGGGCTGGGCGAGGCTGAAGCCAGGAACCAGGAATTCCATCCGGGTCTCACATGGGACTCAAGTACTTAGTTGTGCTGTTTCCCAGGCACATCAGCTGGTTGCTGCACTGGAAGTGGAGCAGCTGGGCCTTGAGTGTGCACTCCAGGAGATGCCAGTGTCGCCCCATGTGCTTCCTAGACAACATTCTTTTGATCTTAGTTTCAGTGTGAGTAATAAGGATAACAATAAAGCAGGTACCTCTTCCTGAGTGTGTACAGTGCAGCACAAGCTACGCTCAGTGATTCACGGTTTGGCAGTCCTATGATTATGCCCACTCAAAAACATAAGGAAACTGGGTCTCAGCAATTGAAGTGTTCAGTGCAGCCATGGTCAGTGCTGGAGCTTGGACCCAGCTCTTCCCAACTCTAAAGCGTGCCTGTTCTTCTGACAGAGACTGGGTCTTGGATTTGTGTCTGTGCTGCAAGACTCTGTGATATTCCTTCTAAGATTGATAGCCTAATTGCTGCTACTGCTTTTCAATTTTTTTTTTTTAAGTTTTCTGTTTTAAAAATGTATTTGAGAGATAGACCAAGCTCCCATCCACTGATTCACTTCCCAGGTGCCTGCTGTAATAGGGGCTGGGCTGGGCTGGGCTGAAGTTGTGAGCTGGAAGCTCAGTCTGAGTCCCTGTGTAGTCAAGACCCAAGTACTCGCTCTCACTCCTGCACCCAGGGTCTGCATCCTAGGAAGCTGGGATCGTGAGCCAAAGCCAGGGTGAAATCCAGGCCTCTCAGTCACTAGACCAAATGCCTGCCCCCTCCTGTCTTGCTAGCAGGAAGAAGGCAGAGTGGCAGCAGGGCCTAGGGGACTCAGCTTTGTCAGCTCATGAAATACCCATAGGGAATGGTGGCCGTGCCCTCCAGCATCAGAGGTAGCCTCTGAGGGCTGCTTCCATTTTCGCTCCCGTAGCCGTTTGGAACCGCATCATCGAGCCTGTGGCTGCCATGAGGAAGGAGGCTGACATGCTGCGGCTCTTCCCCGAGTACCTGAAGGGCGAGGAGCTCTTCGGGTTGACAGTGCACGCGGTGCTCCGCATAGCTGAATCAGTAAGGAGGGGCTGGGAGCTGGGTGGCCGGCTGGCAGAGGCAGGGGAGAGTTTGAGCTAAGATACCACAACCTGTGCCCACAGCTGCCTGGGGTGGAGAGCTGTCAGAACTATTTATTCCGCTATGGACGCCACCCCCTGATGGAGCTGCCTCTTATGATCAATCCCACTGGCTGTGCCCGATCCGAGCCTAAGATCCTTACACACTACAAACGGTGAGCTTGTGACGCAGGACTCAAGGGGTGTGGGCATGGATGTGTTGTTGTGAGGGTTGGGGTGCACTTCATAGGGCGTGGAGGCATCCCTGTGGGCCCCCTCGCCGCCTCCCTAAGCCTGCTCAGGTGTACTGGACACCCTGGGAGTGGCCTCTGGGGATCTTGGGGGCAGATGGTGGTGAACTGTTAGGAGAATGGTGAGGTACCCGGTCACCTCTCCAGACTCCTCTTTTGCTTCCAGGGGGGGCCTGTGATTCCCAAATCTCAGACACTCCGGGAGTGCTCGGGTCACCTTCCCTTCCCCAGGCTAAGTTGGTCATAAATAGTTAAAGTTGTAGTGACAAAATACGTTTGTATAGCACTTTATACTTTTTTTTTCAAAGCGTTTTCACATCCATTATCTCATTTGATCCTCACAACAACCTTATGAGGTAGGTAGGGCAGGTGGTATGACCCCCATTTCTTAGCTAAGAAAAACGAGACCCAACGAGATGAAGTGGCTAGACCAAGGTCACACAGACCTTCACCTCTGGACTTGTGGGTCACTGTTCCTTCTGTGTACTGCAGTAGCCTGTCCTTGGCCCGTGGGTAGAGGGAGGCAGAATCGTGGTGGTAGGCCTCTGGGACGTCACAGACTCCACTCCTCCTCAACCTTAGTCCTTGATTCTCTACCACAGTGGTTTTCAAACTGAGTGCATGTGTTCCACGAAGCCCAGAACATGGGAGTCAGTGGGCGGTTCCTGGCCCTCCCAGACAAACCTGATTCCTTAATTTTCAAATTGAATGTAATGAAGAACCCATTTCATTGAGCTTATGCATTGGAGTTCCAACCAATATCTTGGGGAAGGGTACAGTGGCGTGAGATTTTTGCTTAAAAAAAAAAAAAAGTTTGAAAACCACTGGTCTGGGATGGGCAGGAGTTGGGCTGGTGCCCTTGGGTGGTGGAACGGCATCACTCCAGCAGCAGTCATTCCCCTGCACTGAGCCAGCTGCAGGAGCCCAGGTGCCAGCAGAGAGAGGCTGTCCGCACGCAGGCAGGGGTGCCATCTGCAGGCTGGGCACTCCCAGACTGCCGTAGGAGACATGGCCCCTGTTGGCAGGGCTTCCCGTAGCTTTAGGAGGCAGAACTTGCACATTCTGAGCAAACTGTCATCTTACATTCTAGGCCCCGGCTGCTTGGGGAAGGGCTCCCAGAGGAGCATGTCCTTGACGGTGGTTCGGCAGAGAGGGTGGTGGGAAATGGGGAGAAGGGAGGGCAGGCTCAGTGTAGGGGAATTGGCACCCCCTTCAGACCCTCACTCCCCATCCTGGGCTGTCTCTGCCACTGGGGGGGTTGGAAAGGGCCCCTGTAGTGAGCTGTGGCCACACAGTGGCCTGCACTCCACTCTCGTGCTTGCCACGGCGCACACATCCGAGTGCCTTGTGTGTTGAGGCAGCATGTGGTGTGTGGTCGGCCTGGGGAGGGCTGTCTTGTCATGGACTGTGTCGCCTCCCAGGCCCCACACCCTGAACAGCACCAGCATGTCTAAGGCGTATCAGAGCACCTTCACAGGCGAGACCCACACCCCGTACAGCAAGCAGTTTGTGCACTCCAAGTCATCCCAGTACCGACGGCTGCGCACTGAGTGGAAGAACAACGTGTATCTGGCTCGCTCCCGGATCCAGGGCCTGGGGCTCTATGCAGCCAAGGACCTAGAGAAGCACACGATGGTCATCGAGTACATCGGCACCATCATTCGCAACGAGGTGGCCAACCGGCGGGAGAAGATCTACGAGGAGCAGGTATCGGTGGACAGGGCGCCCACACGGCCAAAGCTGACTAAGAGTCAGGTTCTGGGTGGTGTAGGGTGGGAGAGGCGGCAGAACTAAAGGGTGTGTGCCCTGTTCGCCTTTGCCCCACTGCCGTTCTGATACACCTGTGCCTTTGCAGAATCGAGGCATCTACATGTTCCGAATAAACAATGAGCACGTGATTGATGCCACGTTGACCGGTGGCCCTGCCAGGTAAAAGCAGTAAGAGAGGGAGGAAGGATTTAGGGATCCCTGAGGATAGCCACGAGGAACCAGGATCTCTTCAACTCAGATCCCTGGCATCCCCGGCATCCCCGGCTCTGTCTCGCTGCCCAGGTACATTAACCATTCCTGTGCCCCTAACTGCGTGGCGGAGGTCGTGACGTTTGACAAAGAGGACAAGATCATCATCATCTCCAGCCGGCGAATCCCCAAGGGAGAGGAGGTAAGGGCGGCGTCTGGGTGACAGAGCTGCGGTCCCCTGGCAGCTGGCCGCGGGGCTCTGTCTGCATGACTCCTCGCGGGGACTGGCACTGAGTGTGTGCTCTTGTCTTTGCAGCTGACCTATGACTATCAGTTTGATTTTGAGGACGATCAGCACAAGATCCCCTGCCACTGTGGAGCCTGGAATTGTCGGAAATGGATGAACTGAGAAGCTTTGAGGCTACCAGGCAGGGGAGTTCTCCACCCCCAACCTCTTCCCTGAAAGGGATGAGGGGGAAGAGAGGTAGCAGCCAGAGCCAGGACCCAGGGTTGGGGCTGCCGGCTGACCGGAGCCCCTGGCACAGGAGGCTGGGGCAGAAGGGCCCTAGGCCAAGCCCACCCTGGGCACCAGGGACAACCCCTTCCCCGCCACCGGCCCTCAGGCTGGCATCTCTGCCCCCAGCTCTAGGAGGGGCCAGACAGAAGCAGCCGTTGGGCATCTCAGGTTTGAGGGGGATACGGGCCGGGAGCTACCCAGAAGCCTCTGGGGCAGCAGGGAAAGGAGGAGGATGTGGGGCCTCAAAGCCCTGCTGCCCCCTCCTACTCCTCTAGCCCGACTCAAGGCTGCAAAGAGACTTGACTAAGCGTGACAATCCCAAAGGCCGGGTCCCACACCTGGCCCTGCCTGCCGGGTCCTGCCCCCCCCACCCCCGCACTCCCACCCCTCCCGCTTGATCTGTCTCTGTCTCGCTCTTCTCCTCTGTGTTTCTGTCTCTCTATGGCTTGTGTTTCCTTGTTTTCCACTCTGACAAATGCAACATGAACGGGAAAGAGGCGCCAAGCTGCCCAGGAGGGCACGCTGGGCAAGCCGGGCAAGGAGACCCCGCACCCACACCTACCTCATTTAAGTGTTGGATTTTTTGCTGTTTTGAAATGTGAGACCCTCTCTAAGCCCCCAACTGCCCCAACCCTCTCCCCCACCTCACTGCCCTCTTCTGAGTGGGTGGAAGGGGGGTAGGAGGAGGAAGAAAAAACAACAACAAAAAATCCATCTTCGTTTTTAATTATGGGCATGGGATGGTGGTTGAGGCAAATGATGGTGAAGATTGGGGATGACTGGCCCCTGGTTGCTCTGGGACTTCCCTCTCCGTCTGGACATGGGCAGGAGGGATGTGCTAATCCTAGGACCGGGACGTCTCCCTCCTGTTCTCCCAACCTCATCATGTGCCCATTGGCCCTGCAGCCCCTGTGTGGGGTGGGTGGGGTGGGTGAGGGCTGGCCCGAGAGGCATGCCCGCACCCAGTGAGGCAGGGTGTGGCCCGGAGCTCCCACTTGCCCTCAGTCACCAAACTGCTGCTGGTCTGGTGGGAAGGGGTGGTGATGTGGGGTGGGGAGCTTAGTGTCAGCGCGGGGAGGGTGGGGGGTATTTATCTATTTATACATGGGGTTGTACATAGTCTTGTGGGGCACGGGGGAGCCGGCAGGAGGTGAGAGCCCTCCCCTCTCCCCCACCCCCGGGGAGAGCAAATGTAAAACTACTAATTTTTGTGCTTTATATATTCTATATAAATATATCTATTTTCTTTTTACAAAACCAGTTTATAAATGGTAGGGGGCATGGGGCGGACACATGGAGCTCCCCTTGTGGGGGGGCCCCCTCCATTACCCAACCTACCGCCCTTTTCCTCACCCCCACCCTCTTCCCCTACCCCCTGGCTGTGACTGCTGTAAGGTGGGGGTACAGAGAGAGGCTGGGCTAGGCCCACCTGATTCTATCATTAGACTATGTGATAACGCACAAAAGTGAGCTGACCCCAGGGGGAGCCAGAGGGTGATGGGTTCCCTGCCTCCTACCCTTCCCCTTTCTGCCCAAGCTTGTGCTGCAGTTGAACCTCTTTCTGGGGGTGAGGGGAGGTGGGGGTGGGTGAGGCCCCAGACGGCGCTCTGGTTGGGAGCGTGGGAATGAAGATGAAGCTTATATGCAGTTCTCTCCTAGGGGCTGTGGGCAAAGGGCATTTTGTAATATTTTCAAGAATCAATTGTCTGGCGTGCAGGAGTGGGCTCGGTGGTGACGGACGGGCAGGCCTGCTGGAGGGGGGCACAGTTGCTGTTGTGATTTTAGGTTTGTTTTTGTTTTGAATTTCTGGGGGTTGTGGATTGATGGGGGGTAAGGAGATTTATTTTTTTTCAAAGCTGCTTCCTCAACTGTTTCAAGCTACAGATGTTTAAGAGAACACCCCCACTCCCACAAGAACCGCTGTAATTAAATCGGACAGTGGGGAGACTGGGCTGCCCCCAAAGCCACAGCCCTTGGACGTCCAGGCTCCGGGGAGGGGGCGACTGGCTTGTGTGAGTCGGGCTCTGGTTGGGGCTTGGGCCCTGGGATTGGGCAAAGGAGCTGGGCAGACTTTGTAAGCTATGCTAGGTATCCAATAGTCCTGTAGAAGTTAGTAAAGAAACCTTATACAGTTTTTAATTTTTATATAAACTATAACTCAGACCCAAGCTACAAGGTTGGAATTTTGGTTGTTGGTTTTTTTTTCTTTTTGTTTTTTTTTAATACCCTGCCTGTATAATTGCATCAGAATTTCCTCCTCCCTCCCGCTGCCCCCACCCCCGTGTTTGTATTTTGGGTTGGTTTACACTTGCACATATTTGATTTTCAGTTTTTCCCCTTTAGTCTTCTATTCTCACCTCCAGGACCCTCCCCCTTTTTAAAAAATAAATCGCTGACAAGTGTGAATCCCGTGAAGACTTTATTTTGTGTTGTGTGTATCCTGTACAGCAAGGTTGGTCCTTCCTAACAACGGATGAAATGGTCCCCTTTCTACAGCGCCCTCCCTCCGCCCCAGCGCCCCCTCCTCGGCATGTTTTGTATCAGCGATCATTCTGAACTGTACATAATTTATGTTGCAAGAGGCAAAGGGCAAGTTTTTGGATTTTGCTTCTTCCAAGTTTGTTTTTAAATGGCAAATAAAAAAAAAGAACATTTTAAATACAAGCGGCTCCGTGCTGTAACCCTCGCCGTCAGCCAGCCCCGCGCTCCGGGACCCGGGCGGGGAGAGGGGAGAGGGGAGGAGGGCTGCGGCCGGGCCCGCCGGAAAGGCAGCTGCCCCGCCTCCCGGCCCGCGCCCCACGTAGGCGGAAGTGGCGTCGCGGCACGGGAGGGAGGGAGGCGGGGCCTGAGCTGAGCGAAGGAACGGAGCGGGCGCCAGTGGCGATGGAGACGGTGAGGAGCGCGGGAGGGCGGCGGGGGGCGCTGTGGAGCCCGAGACCCCCGTTAGGAAGCGGGCGGGGGCACGCCGGCGGCAGGCGGGCTTTCGAGCCGTGCGGCGAGCCCCAGAGCTGGGCCGCGCCCTTGCCCGGCTGCCACCCGCAGTGCCCTCCCAGCGAGCGGGCAGCGACACCTAGGTCGCGCCTCGCCGTTCCGGGCCGGCCCGGCGGTCTCCGCGTCCTCTTGGGAGCTCAGGCTCTTGCAGATCGTAGTCCGGCTCCACCGAGTGCGTAGCCGGGGGTCTGTGCCCCTTCTGCTTGTGCTGTGTCCCTCCCCCAGTCTGCTTTGCCCTGACGCGGGGTCACGAGCCGCTTGGGGGGCGTTCTGCTCTGCAGCCCTTAGCGGGCGCGGGGCACCGCGCATCGGCGGCAGGCTGGCTGTGGAGTCGCCGCCTCCTTCCTGCAGGTCCTGCAGGACCACCTCCCTCCCAGGAGCACTCCTGAGGCGCCTCCCGCTCCCCAAGCCCTCCCGGAAGACTGGCTGTAACTCTGCAAGACCGGCCACCGGCTCACTGATCTTTGAGATACTATTTTGCTACACGTTTTGAAAGTGATATCCCTCAGGTTGTCAAAAAAAAAAAAAAAACAAAAAACCAGCAGATGGAAGGGGTAAAGTGATTGGCTGTTGATCACCCAGGCAGGCTCAATTCCTAAAGAGTTTTGAGGAAGAATAGAGTCTGAGTCCATTAAATTCAAAACAAGGTATCATTCTTTACTACTTGTGTTAGGGTGTACCGTGCATTTTGATACAGACTTCTAATTGAGTCTTCAGACTTAGTGAAGTGAGTAAGCTTCCACTGATGGGAACTGTGTGTGAAAAAGGAGAGTTGGTTGGAGAGGTTAGCCTGACGGGAGAGGGAGAGGGCTGAGCACGCGCAGCTGTGGGCTGCATTGTGAGCACGTGCAGTGTGATGAGGCAGAGGAGAAGTGACCACAGTACCAGCCGGAACAGAGGGTGGGATATGCGGATAATAACGGGGGTGGGGGGGTGGTTGTCAGTGGAAAGCTTTAGATTTTGCTCATGGTGGGAGCAAGGGCTAAGATCAGTTTGAAGGTATTGTATGACGTGCTGAGTCTGAACTGTGTTTTCCAGTGAGGAAAATGCCCGAGTAAGGCAGTATGTGTGTACTGGGACTGCGCTCGGCACTTTCCCTTCAATGAACTGAGCCGCTTGGGAAAGCAGTGAGTGGGTGGTCCCTGTCTGCTGCAGGTGCAAGTTCCCTCAAAGCCTGAGATGCTCTGGTAACTGAAGAGGGAGACAGCAGAGGCAGAAAGATAGGGTCCGGTGGGTGGTGGACCCCTGGCACTGCCCCGGTGCTGAGCATGGGCACTTGAGAGCTAGCAGCTCAGACGCCTCTGGCCCACACCTGAGTCTGCTTCTGTGCTTGTTATTCCAGCTTCCTCTGAGTGTAGATCCTGGGAGGCAGCGATTAGGGCCAAGTGGTTGGATCCCTGCCAGCCCACAGGGCAGCAGTGGACTTGGTGGACCTGGCTTGGACTCATGGCTTGCTGCTCTGAGCCAGCCTAGCCCTAACAGTTTGGGGGCATTTGTGGAATAAGCAGCAGATAGGAGCCCTCTGTGCCTCCCGAATAACTATGTCTGTATGGCATTTAATTTGATGTAAAAAAAAAAATTGTGCTTACATACTTCTTTTTTCCCAAAAAATCCATTTCCGTGAACTTTTTGATGTACACCCATATGTTCCTCTTCTCTTTCTGTAACTTAGCCTTAGATCTCTATTCTCATTAGAGAATTAGAAAACATAACAATTATAAGTGCAAAACTCCATGTTTAGGTGTTCCACGCAGTACAAGATAGTTGTCGGTTTTAGGAATCTCTAGTCCGTGGGGACAGATAATGAATGAAATAACAGCAGTAAGAATTGTTCAGCGGTTACAGTCATTTCCACAGAAGTAGCTGTTTCTTGATTTTTAGGAGACTGGCATTCCAGACGTGCATCTTGGTCGTCACACAGCCATCTCCCCTGTGTGAATGAGGAAGCTATTCCAGTGGCCATGCCAAGACAGGCCAAGCCGGTCATCTTACACAGCCTGGAGAGGGGGCAGGGAGGTGATGTCTGTTCTCTCCATGGAGCTGGCCTTCCAGCCTAACCTTGCCTGTGGCCTTCCAGGTTCAAGGCTCCTTTGACACAGAAGCTTTGCCTTTAAGTTAGTTAGGGACTGTTACCCAAAGCGAAAGAAGCCAAAACCTATTGGAAGGTTCATGAAAATCCTTATGTTCCCCCCTTGGTTCCTAACAATGGGATTTCCTCATCTCAGAGTTCTAACTCAGAAGAGGTGCCTTGGGGAGCTAGGGTCCCCTCTGTGCAGCAGCTGTCCCCAGTTGCTCCCCATACCTCAGCCACTCACACTCTCCTGTCTGGAAGCCCCAGATCCACCCCAGATGTGGCTCTCATTCAATGGTAAGGAGTGTATGTGAGTGTGGTCCCCACAGCTGCTTGGTGAATGAGTCTGGGAAAGCATACATTTAGATTAAAAATCATCATCCCTACACTCTAGTTGTGTGATGTTATTATTTTTTTTAAGACCTAATGTTTCATTTGGCAGAAGGGTATATACGAATTCTACTCCACCTAGCAGATTGTCAAATGTCTCTGAACTTGGCTCCTAGCCTGGGAAGTAAGGTTAACAATAGTAGTATCTACCTCAGGGTAGTTATGAAGGCTAGATGAGATAAGGTACATGAAAGCTTCAAGGGATGTCCTTATTGCACCAGCCCCTCCTCTGACGTTGTCAAGTGGATGTGGAAGGAGCCTGGGCTAAGCTGAACCTGTGTGTCTCTTATCTCTTGTCCAGGTCACTTCAGATAGCTGCCCGGTCCTGGAAAATGAGCATCCTCAAGGTCAGTGTCCTGCAGAAAATGAACCTCACTCTGAACTTGCCTTCAGCAATGCATTGGAATCTCCCCTAGGGTTCTGCTTGGGCCACATAATGTGCCAGTGAGCACAGAGCAGGAGCAGTGGTTTGATGAAATAACCCAGGAGTAGGTCTTGGGCAGAATGGGGCTGATGAGTATTTTCAGTAATCAAATCACGTGAAAGGAAAGGCAACTCTGAACCAACCATGTCTAAGCTTTAGAAGTCCCTGTTTCATTCTGAGTAGTCCAGCAACAAAGCCGCCAAGACTCCATCACCCAGCAAGCTCACTGGACAGGAAATTACGGAAGGGCCTGGAAACCCTAAAAGTTCATCTGCAAGTAGAAGCGTTAATCCTTTAAAAACCAGGCCTACGATGGAGTGGCACTGCCCGAAGCCATCGGGAGGGAAGCAGAAGGCACAGGAACACTCCATCTTTCTAGAATGTGTTTCTGACACTGGGGACACCCAGGTTCCTGGAGGATTAAATAGGAGGCATGCACAGACTTCAGGAAGTAGCACAGTCAGGATCCTAGAACCGGTTATCAGCAGTGTGTGAATTGTCAGTGCGGAGCTCTGCGCTTTCTGCTTGCACCGTGATGGGATTCAGAAAGCTCATGTGGCCATGTTAAGTTCTGCGTGTCGGTGCCCATTTTCTGTTTCTGAATGTGTTTGCGTTTAGCACCAAGGCAGGAGAGCCAGGAATGCCACTGTAGACGTGGAGTGCGTAGGACCATGCCACCTGTGGCTCTTCTGTCATCTCTAAAAAGAGGCAGCCACGATCCACATCTGATCAAGGAAGACCTGTTACTGCCAGATCTTCTGATTTTGAAGAGAAGCTGGGAAGTTGGATTTATGTGCAATTCTTCACATTCTTAAAACTTGGCAACTGAATTTTTTTTTAAAGATTTATTTCTTTATTTGGAAAGGCAGAGGTATACAGAGAGAAGGAGGGACAGAAAGATCTTCCATCCACTGGTTCACTCTCCAAGCGGCCACGACAGCCAGAGCTTTGTCAATCCAAAGGCAGGAGCCAGTAGCGTCTTCCAGGTCTCCCACATGGGGGCAGTGTCCCAAAGATTTGGACTTTGTTTGCTTTCCTAGGTCAGGAGCAGAGACCCAGATGGAAAGTGAAACAGCTGGGACACAAATGAGCATCCATATTGGGATCCCAGTTGCGTGTAAGGCGAGGATTTAGGCAAGACTAGGCTATTCTGCAAGGCCCAGCAACTGATTTTTTTTAATGTAATATGCATTTCCACGAGCTTCAGCATCTGGTGCTGCATCAGGGCAGACCCTGCAGCCGAAGAGCTCTGTCTGGGTCTTCTGCCATGTGGGTGCAGGGACCCCAGTACATGAACCAGCCTCTGGTACTCCCCAAGGTGCACATTACCAGGAAGCTGTGTCGTAAGCCAAGGGAGGACTCTGTCCCAGGCACTCTGATATGTGATATGTGCATCGTAGGCACAGCGTAACCTACTGTGCTAAAACACCTGCTCCTGGAAACTGACTTAAACGTTCAAAAATACCAGGAACCAGATCCAACACAGTTGTGGGTCTGTGACGTAAATGATAGTATCTAATTGTCAGTGCAGTGGATACCCAAGAAAATCTAAGTTCTCCAGTTTGAAAAATAACTTTCAGTTAAACATGGCAGACTGTATATATTCTTTCACAGAAAAAAATAAAACCAAATCCTTAAACTACCATATAATTTTTTTTCTTAAAGATTTATTTGTTGGGCCTGGCGCGGTGGCCTAGTGGCTAAAGTCTTTGCCTGGAACGCTCCAGGATCGCATATGGATGCTAGTTCTAATGCCGACAGCCCCACTTCCCATCCAGTTCCCTG